AACCCAGTTATAGTTTTTGATCATTTCATTATAGTTTTAATAACTCAGAGTATTTTACACAACAGTTACAGAACGTAAATACCTTTGGTATTGAGCCATAGAGCTGGTAATAATTGCACATAATTAATTGTCCTCTAGCTACATTATGTACAAAAAATACATTAATACAAATTTTGACTTATGACCGCCAGCATCACTAGTTAATAGGTAACATTACTTTACATGAATACATTCGTTATAATAGCTATAAAATGATTAGTGACTCGTTTAAACGACAGGCTTCTTGAGAGGCTTATTCATATACTTTTCGCTATTCTCGATCAATATAGAATAAGACTTCAAAAAATTTGTTTTTGTCCAAGTGAGCCATAAGGTCATTCGTTTTAATTGGAAGTACATAATAAGATATCAAAAAAAATGTTTTTGTCCAAGTTAGCCATAAGGTCATTCGTTTTTTTGATTGGAAGTACATATAGCTAACATTGCATTTTGTCACCAGAAGTGCAATAATAGAAAAACTGGTTAAAATAAGTTTTTTTAAGAATACATGTCCAACCCGTTACATGGTACTAAAAGTAATGTTTTAATTTTAGAATCACATTATTTGTGTTTATATTTACAAAGAAGTCTCAACGGATACTAATAGTATTAAACAGAAATATATTCGGATAATTACAATAAAAAAGAAATATCACAGTGATTTGTTAAACTAAGTTCTGAAATATCATAAAAGCACAAGTGATTCTTAAAATTATGCTAATACATATATTAAATCAAGAATATATTACTATCACAAAAATTATAATTCACTACCAAGACATTGTATGTGTTTCAGTACTAAACATTTGCAGATGGCTCTTGATGTAGGTACACATTGCAGTTCACGTGCTGTTAACACACATAAAACTGTCAAGGCCACGAGCAAGCTGACATTTTTAACACAGTATGCGAGACAGTAAATTCACTAATATTTTGTATTGAAAGAGTATTGAAACAGATATACAAGGATAGTAGAATGTGTATTCTAATGAAAAAATTTTATCGACTATTGCAAAATACGATATTTAACATGAAAATTATGAAACTGTATAAATTTCGTTATAATTTTAGGCGTTTAGTCTGTTCGCTGCAGCGCTTTCTATTAGTATTGCAGGAATAGGCATTTAAACTCTTCTTAAACTTGCAAAACAAAATCAGTGCAAAAGTCGGTACAGCACTACTGTACTCTGTTGCATATACTACCATATTTATCATCAAAAGTTTTATTACCATTTTGTGTAGTCTCTTTAGAAATACTAACTGTAACTTGTTGCGTTGATAAATAACGTTGAGTGTCATTGATCCTAATGAAATACTCTCATCGTATACGTAAGTATTCAAAATAAGAACCGATTCCGGATGGCATTTACTGAGAAACTGACGTTTAAAGTACATGTACAAAATGTTAACATATTTATATTCTCGCGCCCATATGTTAATAGTAGATTCAATTATAAGGTTTCATTTATTTAAGCAAATCTAAATAAATTACCATTTTAACGGAAGCTGCAGAAACAATACTACACATGCAATATTTGTCATTTTCTCTCTTAAGAAATTAACAATTATTTAAGAGTGTGCATGTATAAGGTGAGTAAGAAATTGATTTTATATTAATCATACGATACGAAATAAGTCTCAAATTTTAATAAATGTTTGAATGTGTAGTACATACATAATATGTCAATTAAATAAAATACAACTAATTAATGTGCTAATACTTCTAATGATATTTGAGTATATTGAATATTACTATAAAATATTAGGAAGCATCCCTTAATTACGTGAAATGTTTGCCTTGCCATAGAGAAGTTGCCAATCTGTTTTTTAAGAATAAATTATAAAACTGTGAGCAGAATATAAGGTTAATGTACAAATATCATCAGATATACAAGAATAATTTCTTTATATGCGTCAAGTATGTGACTTCACGTTACCTGAATGACCGATGCGGCTCGTAAAGGGTTCGTCAGTAGCGCTTAGTATTTGTAATGCGGTAACTAACAAATGTACCTACAAATATTGTGTTGTTTTTATAAGTCAAAGAAGCACAGTAAAAGCTCCCATTTCGAACCCTCACTTTAACTTTCGAGTCTAGCTTTATGCCGATAATACGCCCGACTGACTCTCCAAACTATTTTTTTTTTATAAAGACAATATAAGTTAAGTAAATGGTTCCATTTGTTTGACTTTACTGTGTTTAGTAGTTATATAATTTATATAGTATTACTAATTTATAGTAATGTGCTGTTCGTAGAGATCTTTCACTCTAAATTGCACATGGCCTTGGTGCAACCAACTTGTCCTTTTTAATTGTTGAAGTAAAATAGTTATTTCAATCTCTTTCTATTCCATTTATTTATTTTTGTAATTAATTGAAAAATATTTTCTATCATACTCGAAATAGTTATGTACAATGCTCCAAAATCATTTACAGTTTAAGAGTGAACGATGTCTAGACCAAATAAAGTGAGTCAGATCCTGATCAAATAACACGATGGCGAAATTAAAAATAACACGGATCCGTCAGTAACAGCCAGTTTTCACGTGCGACTCACAAACAATTGAACATTTAGTGCTATTTTATGGTACGACGATCTCGACTAGGTACAATGACGAATTGTGCGTTAAAATACTACAATAATTAATATCTCAGTCATTTATTAATGGATTTAAAACTTTTTACAGCAAATTTATTAGTTAAGATCTATATTTTAATTATACTATGTGTGTCAATATACTTCTCAATGGCCAACTTTAAACAAAAGACTTGACATTTTATTGAACCCAACTCAATTATTTGGAGCTCACGTAATTAATGGGTGCAACCTTAGTCGGAATGATTAATTTCAGCTAACAACTAACTTGCGGGCATAAACACGTAAATTAAAATGGTTATTCTTAGTTATCTACTCTTTGAAGACATTTCCTATATGCATGTCAGTGGATTCACCATTACACTTATTAAAGTAATATTTATATTTTATGATTTTTTTATTACAATTATATTATTACGAATATTTACAATAGGGGATTGTAAATATTCGTGAGACTTTCTATTTACCCGTCTCGAGTCATTAGATTAACATAAAAAAAACATTATTGATTTCTAATAGTGTAAAATAAGACTTCATAAGTTAAACTAAATAAAAGAGAAGGTTGATTTTTATTATTTAACTATCAATAGCATTTTCCCTGTAGTCACAATAAAAATTAATTCATGAAACAATTAAAATAAAAACTTTTTAAATATCTTAATATTTCAGATACCAATTTTCCCTGATCAAATTATCATGTGATTTATTGCAATTATAAATCACAAATAATAAATAATTAAACATATTAAATGCATCAAAAATGGAAAATGTTTTATATAATCATATCAAATAATGACGTCACTGAAAACATGCAAATAAAAAGGCGTAGCTTATGCATATCACAGGTTGCATGTAAACACAGTCAGACTCAAACAGATGTTCTAAATCTACATAATATGTTTTAACGTATATGTACATCATGCTATCATGACGATGGTCAATATTTATTTGACATTTGTTGCCTATTTTACTAATAACAAATACACTTATTAAAATTATTTAAAACACTTTATTTTCTTCGATTATCTACATGCCATTCCACACACAAATATTTACAAAGCATGTTGTGCCTTGTCGTTTTTCATAGTGTTTAAATAGTGGTGAAACAGGCTTAAACAATATTATACTAAATAATAAATAGTGGGTTGTTCTAATCATAGGCTCAGATATACTATAGTGGTTTTCTCAACTAAGTTTGTGTAGGTAGTTCATTGTTGAAGTTTTAAAATATGCACTGAACAGAATATTTTTCATTCAAATTCAAAACAGTTTTCATTTATTACTAAACAAAATTAAAAAAAATGTTTAGTTGACTAGACTAACTTTTCGCCTTATATTTTATAACACAAAACTGATATAATACAGTTAACGTTGAGACTAATTGTAAGGACAATTACGAAATATTACAGTTTGTTTTGGGGTTGAGAGTAATATTATATACTTATATCAAAACATAAAGTGTGTGTAACTAGCTACTTCATGTCATTGTTATAAAAGTATTGTAATTTTTTTTACAATCATAAGCGTAGTTTTGCTAATATACACTGTCATACGACAAATATACCACATCACTAAATTGTATAAGTTATTGAATGATAGCTACTAGGTATTTTCCTAAGTTCCTAATGGTCATATCTGGTAACATAGTAACTCTTAAAAATCTTTCTAGAAATGCATTCGTATATACGTATAAACGAGATTATTTATATTAAACAGGGATTTTATAAAAATATATTATACACTAGACCGTTAAGACACCCTACGTTCTTGTGTGCGTATTTGTCTATTCATGCTTTTAGGTGTTTATGTATTATAACAGACACTTTCTTATTCTTATCTAGTGTATAATAAATGTTAATGTCTACATAAAAGTTTAGAATACTTTAGACACTGGGATTCCATATAAAATAAAGTACACGAGATCCATTAATAATATCATACCTACAATTACGGCAAGGCTCTTTATCGCTCAGTTCTCTTTCATGTGCTTTATGTACAGTCCGATCGTGTTTCGAGTTTCCACTTATACTTATTTACAATAACTTGTGTTGATGTGCTTTTCTACCGCAAGTGGGATTATCTCAAGGTGTAGAGCTACGCGTATTTGTGGGATTTTGTCCTTAACGTGCCATTTTATCTAGGTAGTTACGGTCAGGAATGTAAAATCAGCGTGAGAATAACAATCTAAATAGGAATTTAGAAGCGAGCCGAGGTATGCAAGAAGACTCAAGGACTAACCTTGCTTTACTATGGCACCATGAATGTTCGCGTTCCACACATACCTTGCAGCCCTGTCCCTCTGATTGACCCTGCGGTGCGTCTGCGTCGGCGCTCGTGTAGGGCAAAGCATAAAATTCTCTCATTTCACGCATTGTCGAAGCCCTGGAAGTCTCCCGGCCAGTTCTCTCTTCGGGCCGCCCGATCGGAGCCCGTGCAGGCGAAGAAGGCGTCTCCTTCGAACGGGTCCGATTCTCTCGTAAAAATATTCACCGAATCCGACTTTCTGATATCGCGAGAGGAACCGGCGGAGACCGGGGGCCTCGCCCTCAGCGGGGGCACCTCTCCCTCCTCCTCCTCGGCGATGGAAGCGGTGCGGGGCCGCGGAGGGGCAGGGTTGCTGAAGTCGTCCTCGAACATGGAGCGCGGCGACATGGACTCAGAGTCGAAGCGGAAGCGCGCGCCCGACGCCTCGCGCGCGCTGCTCGCCACCGACGCCACCGACGCGGGCGACGCCGCCACCTCCTCCGGCTCGAACGCGAACCTGACGAGTACATCATTACATCGATTCTCTATTTTAAATTTAACAAGAATTTTGTATGATGGAATGTGCTTGCTGTTAAATAAGCTGTGCAATATAAGTTTGAACTCGCAGGCTTACTAACGGTTATTAGTGTCTCTCAATGCTACAGAATAAAATAACGTACCTGGTCCCTTCCAAACTGGAATATGTGGTTCGTTTCTTCCCTGTCGGTGTCGGAGTATCGTGGAAGTCGTTATCGAACGGCGAGGTATGTTCCCGCTCTCTCGGCGAAAAGTCGTTCGAGAAGCGATAGTCGCGAGGTCTCCGAGGCTCCTCTCGCCTCGGCCTCCGCCTGGCGTCGCGCGTCACGTCCCGCTCTCGTTCGCGAGAATTCTCGCGTCTAACGGTAGTGTTCGCCCTCCGAGATGACCAGCCTAGAGTGGAACCGTACCTGAAATAAAATTTATCATTGTTAAAAGAACTAGCCGTTTAAACTAAATGTTTGCCTTAGTAAATAAAAAATACACAGGGTACTTAGCAATTGGTCCTTTAATTTTTTCTGAAATTTTGATCAAACGGTTTAGAAAAACCATTCGATCGATAAATTTGTTGATTTGCAGGATTGTTGGGTTATCGGGGTATAAAAATTCGTACAAACATTAGACCCCTCATCAACTTTCGCAAAGATGCGGACGATTTTTCGGAACAAGCAAAAAAGTAACTTTTTTTCACTTTTTCAAGTCAAGATTGAGTTTTTTTTTAACGGCCATAAGCCAACCTCGTAGGAAATTTATTGCCAATTTAGGGACTGCCCTTTAATTTTCAATCCAATCATTGGTTGTTGAAATATCGATGGCTAAAGCCAAAAGGATCCTTTTGCATTTAAAGTACCTAAGATACCTCCGGCACAAATCGTAGAGAAAAACAAAAAAAGGAAAATGAAGCAGAATAAACAGGCTATCAAGTCTTTGCCATAATTTTATTGTAAAAAATCCCAGCCCGTGGATTTAAAAAAAACATGAAAACTTCACAAAAAGACATTTTTGCGCTATTCCTCTGAATTACTGGATAACTGTCGCCTCTAAAAAATGTTGGCCAAGAAATCTGAACACTAGAATTTTTGGGCTTCAAGATGATTTTTTACGAGCTTGTCCTCAGAAATATGGGCCTTCATTTTTTTGCATATGTGTATATTTGCTGTATGATATAAACCCAAAAAATTTACTCCGTAGTACTTCAATACATATAATACCTTCTATCGCCAGAATCTTCACTTTGTCTCATTTCAGCCCTACGTCGGGTTTCTCGCCAACCAAGAGAACCATAATTTCTTTCTGGAAAACAAAATTGTTATCAATCGGTTAACTCGGCTTACATAAAGAAAACTAATTGATAAGGATCACAATAATAGTTACGAATTTCAGAAGTAGCCAGTTTCGAAAAAAACCTAAGAAAAACATTGTAAGTCGTGAGCAATTTCTTTAAGTCATTTCAATATGAATCTGCTTAAAATATTTCACAGCTTCAAAATTTTAGGAACACTTAAATATTAACCTGGATCCGTAACATCCAAACTTAAATTATCTGTATCCCCTAAGTGACAGGTACGCCAGAGGTCGTGGGTTCTATTCCCACCCAGGACAAATATTGTGTGACGAGCATGATCATTTGTTCTGTTGTAATTTATCGGGTGTAATTTATCTATAATATGTATGTATTTATAAATATATAAGTATGTTTATCAACAGTCTGGTAACCATAGCACCGGCTCTGCCTAGTTTGGGATCAGACGGCCGTGTGTGAGATGTGAGGTATATTATTATTATTTGTTATAAAGTGAGGTCATGTAAACACTTCATTGATTTGTTTTTGAAGTGATGTACGACAAAAAACGCGACCAAGGAGTTACAAAAAGACTTTTAAATGAAATAAATGAGGAAATAAATGAGGAACGTATGATAGAAAATAAGAGTAAAAAATTTATTTTCTAAAAAAAAATCGGTTGGACAACAAGACACGTTGAAGGGTTTAGAATGATCACTGACTTTCATGGGCACTTGTCTGAGGGTATATGATATACACTTTCAGGGCGGGCCCGTTTGCAATTCTATACGTATCATATAGGCTTATACTATGACTGACTGAAAACCTCACTAACCATCTCTTCTCCACCGTTGATCCTGCCACCGATCTCGGGGAGACGATCGACCGGACCCACAGCCGTCACTGTAACTATCACAATAGAAAACAAATTACAAAAGGAATAAAATTCGAATCGGTATTTGAATAGGAATGCCTGAAAAATGACTTAAATGAATAGGAATGCTTGTATAGACGTTCGTAAAGCTCAATTTAAGGATTATGTACTGTACTGAGTGGGGGGAGGGGGTGTGCTCACGTGGCCGCCAACGGTCAAGGTCAGTCGTGTATCTCGTTCTAATGCATTAAATAATTTCGCTGCTTTGCTCTAACATTCTGTTATGAACATAAAATTGTCATAGTTTCTGTTAATATTGTTATTTCTTTTATTAGACCAAACGAAACAAATTTATGTAAGATATTATGTAAATGTCTACTCACTCTTCCTCTTCATCGTAAGAATGTCTCGGTTTTCTATGTCTATCTCTGTCTTTTTCCCTATAATCTTTAGGCAGTCTTTCTCTACTTCTTGAATCTCTATAATCTCTTTCTCTACTATACGTTCTGTCTCTATCCCAAGAGTCATTCTCCCTATCTCTACTTCTCCTGTCTCTTCTATCTCTATGGTCCCTGTGATCTCGTTCCTTGCTGACGTCACGCCGATCCCGCCCGCTGCCGGAATCCCTTCGGTCTCTAACTGATTCTCGTCCATCTCGGTTTATATCTCTATCTCGGTCTCGCATTTCTCGTTTGTCTCTTAGTTTTTCTTTTTCTCGCCCGCTACCGCTATCTAGGCATTCTCTCGAACCGGAAGAATTGTGTCTGGAAAAAAATTAGGTTTTGTAACAAACAAAATAAGAAAATATTAATTCTTTTACGGAACATGTACAAAGAATTAAAAGTGTTTTTAATCCTTAAGATTTTATTTTTATTTTCCCTGTACACGTAACAGCAAGTCGGGGAAACTCGCGTAACAGGGTACTAGAGTTGTACTAGGAGATGGCAAATGTTATACATCATTTATGTGACTACTGTACGTTCGGTTGTTTATTTTTTTAAATCCTGCTGTTTGTTTATGTAGCTTTATAAATAACGTAAAGTAATAAAAATAAAAAGTAAAGTAAAGTAAGTAAGTAATAGTAAAGTAATAAAGTAGTTAAGAAACATGCAATGAATGGAAGAGTATATTCATACTAAATTTACCTAGAGTCTCTATCGCGATGTGAAGGTGGTCTCTGCAGACGGGTGACAGGAGGCAATTCTTCTTCCCACGGCGATACGTCACGAGAAGATGATGATGTTTGTACTATAATTTATAGGAATAAGTAGATTTATTAAAAATAATAATGGTAAGTATTAAAGTCTGATTTTATTTAACTTTATTTCTATCTAGAATAACTATTGACCCAACATACAAAAGTACAAAAATCTAATGAGATAGAAGCGTTTTGGATTTCTTTGAGAACTTCATTAGGTTTTTTGCGAACAATTTCTAATAAGAACTCCTGATCAATTGACGCGGTTATCAATATGTGCATTATTCCATTATACATATGTCTATACATATAATAGTTGTATTATCCAATTAATGTGTGCATAGTGTCATGCAGTTCCTTAATTACTAGGTTTCTGTGAACGCTCACACTATTTACGAAAATATCTATGTGACTAAAGTTGAAATTGTAAGAATTTAGTATACGACGACTAGGTGCACGCATGCCTGCGTTTGTGCGTGATGATCGTATGACAAATAGCTGTGTTGAAAGACAGGCCCGCATGCATGATCTAGTAGGCACTCCACAGTTGATATTATTGACAATATCAATGCAGTCGTATCTGTTACAAAAACATGGCTTGCATTTGTATTCTCCTAAACTTTAAGTCTAATAGTTTATATCTTTGTAATAGCTGCTGAAACGATTAAAAGTTATGACAGCATTTATAGTGTATACAACGCAGAAATTTCTTTCGTGTTCTTTCTAAGCTATCCGAGTATTTTACATAAAAAGGATCCCAAATACATACAGCATATTCCAACTGTGAACGGATTACGGTCTTGTAGAGTTGTAGATATGTATTAGAAGGCATTACTGGCTCGAAATACAAAACCATATATATTTTAAAAGCCTGCCTACATATGTTATCAACATGTGCATCATTTTAGTATCCAATGTGACTCCAAGATCGCGGTCAGTTTATACTCTGTTGAGATTGTGGCCGCCTATAGAATAATTATATTTACTAAACACTCGTTTTCTAGTAAATGTAATAACTTTACATTTATCGAGACTTAGCTGTAGTTTGTTATTGTTACAGTAATTGTTAAATTTATTCAGATCCTCCTGGAACCTGAGGTGATCATTAGAATTATCTATAGAGCGGTAAATTTTTAGGTCGTATAATAAAAAATAACAACGCTGAAAGCAATTATGTATATCATTGATAAAAAGAATGAACAACAAGGAACTTAGGATAGATCCCTGTGGCACACCAGACGTTATAACAACCATATTTGATTCATATCTATTGATGACTACTTTTTGTGTTCTGTTTGTCACGTACGACTTAAACCACCTCCAAAGAGACACTCAGTTATTAGCGTCTATATTGTCAAACAATTCAGAAGTATAAATAAAAAGATTAGGACAGGGGGTCGTTTACGGACAAAACCATGCTGTTGCGGAGGAATGGTCTCATGCCATAGTGGATAGATATTATTATGCACCAGTCTCTCCATAAGCTTAAATAAAGTGGGCAGGATTGAAATTGGACGATGATTAACTACATTTCTTTTTAGGCCTCCTTTATGTATTGGCGTTATCCTGGCTGGACGAATCTATATATATCTAAGAATATATTAAACGTATGTGGCGCGTACCGATGGGTGCGCGTGCGCGCGCGGGCGGGTCGTGGTGGCGCGCGCGGCGCGGGCGCGTGCGCGGCTCGGAGTCGCGCGAGTCGGACGAGCCGCCCGACGCCGCCAGCCCGCCCAGCACGGCCCAGCGCCCCGCGCCTACCACCCCTACGCACTTCTCTGCAACACACGCCCTACTGTTTACATTCTCGGATTTTCTCTGGACCTGCATTGTTACGAGAGAATCATACGGTCTATCCGTCGTTTTGAGTAGCACTTAAAACAGTACTTTCGTACAGAATTTGCGAGTTTTTTAAAACAAATACTCGGGGTCTGTAATGGTTGTGCAATTTTTAGTTTAAAAAAAGTGCAATTTAGCCCGCACCATTGCATTTCACCAAAGAATTTGTGACCTTCAAACATGTTTTTTGCGCGTATCGGTAAGCCTTGAAAATGTTTGATCAAATAAAAATGTTACGTAGTATACACTTAATCGTAAATATAGTAAAAATGAGTTCAAGTTCAACAAGCATTTTGTTTAATATTTTCAATCAAACTCTAATATGACTGAATTTCAATTTATTTATTCAATAATCTGTTGATATGAATCTCAAATTGACGTTTTGTCAAGGTAATGTAACTGATTACTGTATCCCTATTTAAATTATTGCCAAATACTACTATCACAACTTCCTGATATTTACTAATAAACATCCTCAACTTTTACGTATTTTGTGATATATAGGTAAATACAGAACTGTATAGAGAAATATATAATTCAATCCAATAAGATGAAACACTTAGTTAACTTACCTTTGGTATCGGGCGAAGAGCCACTGACAACATCACTTATAGAGCCAGTGGACAATCTCGCTGGAGGCGGTTGTAGATCCCTCGCTGGCACTGGCGTTAGCTCTACAGGAGTCTCCTTCTTCTCAAGGACTGGAACATGCGTAGGAATAATTTTCTCTTCTTCTCTTTCTTTTACTATAGGACTCTTTCTGAATGCGTCTTCTACGTGTGTAAAAGATAGTGAACTATTATCGATGCAGTCGAAGAAATCGGAATTATCAAATCCATCCGATTTCTCATCAGATTTTTTCCTCTCTTTAGGTATTTCGGGAGGTATAGATTCAAATTCGTCTTGTGATGGTTCGGTAATGGTAATTTCACGGAGGGCGGCATATCTGAAAATAATAAAAAATTAGTATTTCTTCCTTTTATGTTTACATGTGCAATTTGAATTCGCGAACCTCCCCCCCCCCTTTGATTAGGTGTGGGTTGGGCTTTGGTAACCTTAGTCACACGGTGTAAAGCAACAAAAGATCTTGCTCAACACCGGTTCCCTGTGAGGCCGTGGTGTAACTCAGCAAACTAATTTGACTATATCCATTACGTTCAGGAAGACTCCAGTCATTTCCTATTTGCAGTATTTTGTCATTTATCGCTTTTGGCTCTCTCATGCAAGCTTAACAGCACTTTTACGAAGTAATACATAAAATTTAAAAGTATTTGAGTCTACATACCTATCATTAGTATCTTCCAACTTTGCTTCCACATGTCCGTTGTCTCTCGGTGAGACACTTCGTCTCATCTTCTCTATCTGCAGAGTTTTCATCACAGACTTTATATCTTCGATCTTAGCATCTATCTGAGAAGGTTTTGGGCTGACAGAATTTCTAAACATATTAAAGGAATCTAAAGTCAACTCGTCTAAAGTTTTCAAAGGACTTCGAGCGAGTTCCTTGTTTTCAGATTCTCGTTCTTGGTTCGCCCGCATAAGGTTGTCAATAGCAGTCAATTCCTTTTCATCCGAATCCTGTTTTGGTTCAGCTTCCAACATGTCAATAGGGTCTAAAATTGATTTAGCTTTTAGTTCTTCTTCTTGTATTTCTCTGAAGGCGGCGTACCTGTCGTAAGACGGATTAGCTTTTTTGTCGAAATCATCAAAATTTGCAACAAAACTGTCGCTGATTTCCGATGTTGGCGCAAAGTTATCTTCGAACTGTGGTTTGAAGTCGTTGATAATGGCGGCTGCAGGCGGGGGGATTTTTTTTTCTAGTGTTGTGTTTGGTGTCGATAAACCGGATAGTGAAGTTAATGGTTTTTCTTTGTCTGCTCGCGTTGATTCGACGTGGATATGCTGAAAAGGAAAAAGTCCTTTATAAATAAATCATACTCCTACTATTTAAAACTATATGCCCGTGAACGGATTTGCATTCGCGTTTGGTTTAAAATCAAATTTTCACTTCTAAGTCTTGTACTCGTATCTTGAGGATATAATTTAACATTCTTATTCTGTTTATATAGAACCTTTCTTGCTAATTTTTAAAATATTATGGACATTGTGGATATAGATACTTGGTTGTTCCAGAGCTGAGCATGTTCAACCAAACCGAATTCTTTAGTTTAATTAAAATAATCTGGATATTCACTAGAAAACGTTTAGGAATTTCTACACCTGAGATCCTTTAAAATCTCTCTCAATCCCCTGCAAGACTACCTGTGATAAGATATTATTGTGATCTCTTCATACGGTGAATAGGCCCATTCTTAGAAGATAGTTTATAAAATTGTAATTAATACTATATTATATTATTATTACTATATTATATACATAAATATAGAAATAAACTATACCGCTCTATCATTATCCGCTGCTAAATACGATCGGAGGTAGTCGGTGAGTTGAGGTAGCGTCATTGAAGACAAGGTTGCGGCAGGAACACGGAGTCTGAAACCCGAAAGATGTGAAATTAATGCCTATATCGTAATGTGTGTATAAATAATGTAAGAAAACACCGTCTAAAGATATATATATACGTGTATATACATATATACACCATTAATAGCTGTTTTTTAGGTAAATTATAGGATGATTAAAAGTCAACAAAGTCAGGAAAATATTAACACTGCAGTCGACAGCACTTGCTAATCAAAGGGGTGTAAAGTAGGAGTGATGATTATTTAGGAATATAACAATTGAACCCGTCTGTTATCCTTGACTTTATAGCCGTGGATAGTGCTTATTATATATTATGTTGCATTTTCTATTGTGACCTATATGTGATAGTGAGCTTTAACTGGGCCCTCCAAAGAATGTTCATTACAAATTGTGGAAAGATAATTTAATGTGCCTCATAGAATACTGACGGAGTATGAATGGTTATAACCTTTTGGTGTTAATATGTGTTCATCCAGCCGCCCGTACATTGGGTCCACTGCATCAATGGTTTTATTACATACCTATGCGCAAGTTCATCCATGGTGCAAGTCAATAGCTGGCTAAGAGTGATGTCGAAGCGTCGTGCAGTTGGCAAGGGGGGCGGTGCCGGCGTCAAGTATTCGTCTTCGCTGCTATTGGTCGCCGCTGATAAGAGGCGGGGCTTGATACTGCGGTCTGCCTATAAATGGATAATGATACTTTGGTACTTTTTGTATGTTTAAGTTTACCAAAGCTATTGATTAACATCTACCAAATACAGACTGTTAGTGTAGTATTAGATCACTATTTGTTAGGTGGTTTCACGGGGGTCTGGATTTCGTACTTAAGTGGAATCTGTAAACCTGGAACTGATTCACGGTAATAACAATGGTAAAACCAAAACTTATTGATTTATTATAATAGACACACCCACAATGGTATAATATTCAGGCCCTGATCACCATCCCAAATAATAATATCATAAAGAGAAGGAAAATGTTGCCGCAAGTTTACATCAATATTGAGATACTAGTTCTTGCTCGCGGCTTCGTCTGCGCGGTGGCTGACACTAGACATCGTAGACTGATTGCCTGACTGACTGAGCAAACAACGTGCGTTGCTAAAGATGCAACTTAAGGTCGTAAGGTGTTTGTACAATACAATGGTTGTTTCACTGATGCGATTTATTTTAAACCACACAGAAAATTGAGCCATCAGTTTTAATAGTGTAACCAGCCCTTAGCACAATTTGCATGACAGATTATTTCATAAACTTTGACCACTTTCCGCGCTGATGCTACTTATTTCGTCTAATAGAATGAACTAACAATATAAACTTGCAAATATGATTATATATAGTGTGTAAAAGTAAAAAAGTGTGTAAATATTTTTGACTGAATATCCTATATATATATATATATATATACATATATATATATATATATACAATATATTTACACACTTTTTTTCAACATCTTTCAAAAAATACATTTTTATTTGTATAACGTTTGTTTGTTTAACTTTTAATTGTGGGGTTTGGACTTTGAACTTACAGTAGGTTCCCTCCTCATAGCAGGCTTAGGCAAGGGCGGAGCATCGTCTTCATGTTCCTGCGGCGGGCGGGGCGGGGGGCGCGCCAATGTGTCCTTCTTCGGCGGCAGTGGCGGGGGCGGCGAAGCATTCTCCAACAACTTATTACTGGCAACCGGACGTTGGCGTACGGATATACCGTCTGTGTTCTACAATAAAAAGATTTACTTACGTATAAATAAACACTTCTGCCGAAGAGTTAAAGTTAAAACCTGTCTATAATAAATATTTTTATGAAAAAAAAAACTGGTTTATTGTAAAGAAAATGTACTATTTTTGCCGGCTCTCACGCCTTTAACTGACCTAAAGCGAGTACGTACACGCAAGGGTACGTTATCACGCTCGGCCGATTGTGGTCTCACTGGCAACACCCAATTATTTCAGATAAAAACATCATGGTTTAAACAAGAAAGACCAAATACATTATTAAGTATAAGCTCTATGGTATATTTATAAGCTCTTAAGGTATTATAAATTATCACATACTTATGCCGCTGAAGTCTTGTAGGTATTCAATAACATAATATGTTCCTTTTTAAGTTTAGAATATTTTTTACCTGTCTTGGCAATCTAGGTGATTTTGGTGTAGGTTCTGGCGGCAGAGTCACTTGCAGAGGTCCGTTAAACACGTTTTTCCCACTGTCCAGCGGTTTGGGTTCATCCGACTTCGTTTCCCGGGTCAGTTTACTCTTGGCCTCGTCCATGCGCAGTACACTCGACTTTGGAAACTCCTGCATGCTCGTAAACGGATCATCCTTGATCGAATCCGAGAAAGGATCTGTGTTATCGAAAGGATCCGTTTCCGCAAAAGGATCTGATGAGAAAAAGTTGGAACTGAACATGGTATTCTGCGGTGGCTTGACGATCGCCACCGATCCGCCCGAGTGTCTCGACAGTGACGTCATTGTCGTCGCTGGCCCATAATGTTCGATCTTACTATCAGAGACAGGCAATATGTCTGATATAAGACTCTGTGTGGTCGACACCAGGTCTTTGAGCACTTTCTTTGGAGGATTTTTGAGCTCCTGAAAGAAGAGTTTTTTGTCAACGTAAGGTTTACTCCGGCCGGTGCCGAGGGGGTCTAGTTCGGTGAATACGTCGTAACTGAGCGACTGCGTCGTGGACGAGCTGGGCTGGCTCACCTGTAACACAGGCATGCACCATAAGACTAACTATATGCAGACGTGATTTCGAATTGCGTTTGATTATAGTCCTAAAATTATTTTATCAAATGCTTTATGCCAGTAATCCATTGGATAACAAACAAAATTACTACATTTACTGAAGCGTGCGTCTAAAGACCTGTCCGCGGAAGTGCATTTACTCTTGTGCAAATAAACCGGGTAAATTGAAAAGTCGTGCGAGGTTCCTCGCACTCGCAAAGGAACACTTGACTGTAAACATTTACAGCAGCCATATTACGACATACAGGTAGCAACATGCTTTATTTAATCCTTTCATTGAAGTATAACAGATTAAGCGTCACGTCCACATAAATATTCAGTCTTACAGCATAAAGAGGCCAGACGTCACAGACAGGGAGTTCTACTTAATTATTCAGGAAATATTATTGCAAAATCATTTTGTTTCATTATAGTAACTGTCATTATAATAGTAACGTAGTCGACTTTGGTAAAAATTAGTTCAGCGGCCTAGTAAGTTCATCTTTCTTGTGATTCAATTTATGTGAAAATGCCAAGTTCCAAGATACTTTATAGTAAAAAAACAAATAATAATCAAAACTTCCATCGTTGGCGGTGATCGGAATAGTGTTAAAAAAAACAAACAAAGCATTAAAAATATGATCTTACTATCGCTTCCCATGTTTTATTGATTCCGAGGAACGCAATAAAGTGAGATTACATGGCAAAATATAAACATATAGCGTAATTATTATTACACAATATGGTTTTCTCAGCTTCAATTTGTTGTCATGTTTTTATCTTAGGTATCCTACATGCAATAATAGTGTGTGAATTTTGCAATAATATTTCGCTGGGTACTCTCAAAAGCAAATGTCAAGGGGTCATGCACTATGGTAGGACACTAAACAGTCGTTCACTTACACATACAGTAATACAACTTATAGTAACACAATCTTTTTGCTACAAAAATAAGTACACAACTATAAGTTATTTTTTTTTATTATCTGATTATACACCATAAATTTGTTTTTACACAGTCACATAAGCACACGAAATTTGTATTTTAAATGTAATATTAAATTGTGTTTTTTTTTTTAAGTTTTGCTATTTTTGATATTTTATTAAAAAACATTATTGATGATACATTAATGAATAATAAGATTCATCGAAGGCGCAAGTAAATTGTATTTATGATGAAATCCAAATAATAGTACATTAATCCATCGGAAACCTTATTAAAATCAAAACAGTTCAAAGGTAAACTGTATAATGATTCTTAAAGGTATATTTCAATTAATGATAAGATTTATCTTCAAATTAATGAATTGATGAAGTATTATTATTTTTAAGTAACAATTATTAAACTGAAATGGGGTTTCTTTTGTTGTAATTTGGTGTTTCTTTTGTTAGATAACCAAGACAAGTTGTTTCGATTCTAACTTCGAGTAATGATGGTTAGCCTTGTGAGGTAAAGCTCCATTGAAGGTTCCTACGCGATAAAAAAACCTTCTTTGGCATTGGGGTAGAAAAAAATAATAATTAATCAAGCAAGCTATTCTAGGCGTATTTATCTAGTATTAAAACTTTATAAAAAAATATATATTTTATCTGGTTAACAGATCGGTGAAGGTCGGGGTGTATCGGGCATTTAGACTATAAGTATAGCACACTTGGTCCTATGTTCAGTAAGGTAGAGACATGAATTTAAATTCGCTGCTTAGTTAGAAATGAAAAAATATTTCGTAACTATGTGATATCCGGGAGACTCCACATTTAGGTTTCTTATTCGTTTAAGTCATAACGTAAATAATTGCCATAATAAAGGACACTAAGTAAAAATGATTGTGAATTACAAATTTCCATTACATTAATGTCACTTTACAGACTCTTATTTATTCATCGCGGTTAATTAACTGCAAATTAATATTTTATAGTAGTATAATGTGTATAACGCTTACTAATATTAATTTTGTTTAATTAATGTAGTTGTAGTCAGAAGCTGTTGTGGCAGACTATCGAATGTACGATCGCCATCACTCGAAATTACTCTTTTTTATGGGTACTTCTCAATATACATCCGACTGTGTCGAAAGTTAATTTAGCTAGGTACTTGTATTATCTTCATAAGAAATTGGAAAAATTGAAATATTATATATAATAATTAATTCCGACATATGGGCTTCAAGGTTGGCCAAATGTCCAGAAGCCGGACAAACACATATCCATTTCTCTCTCGTAACTTTGTAATACACTACACTGGTGTGTTTTTACGATTATCGATTTACCGCTTTTATAATAATATATTTAATATCAAATATAACGACGTACTATCGACAAATATTCAATAATTCGATATTAATTAAATACCACATCGATACGTACGTCCATACTAACTGTATTATCGGTAAGATTGTCAACGAGAGCTGGCGTGGGTTCGAATTCAGCTGCAACGGCGGTCAGGTCGAAAGGTAGTGGCGGTGGGCCCTTTCCAGGGCTTAAGAATACCGGACGCGCAGAGGTGACCGGAGCACTTCGGCCTCGGGTTGAAGAGCCGGATGGCGGCGGAGGCAGGAGACCTTTCTGTAATAGATGAATAATTTTGGAAATTAATTTTATGTTATGTCTTGCCCCGTTTTTAAAAGAGAAATCTATAGGAACAGTTACTTATTAAATTACCCGCTAAAATACATACATCGCATTTAATCACGTAACTAACCGCTTAACAGTAATTTCTGGAGTAATTCATAGACTTAAACCGAAAAAAATGGTAGTCCATTTGAGCAAGGTCTGTCAAGTACGGAGCATGACGTATGGTTTCTAACTACAGCTACTGTAGAGTCACAACGGTTTTTCGTACGTCTTCACATTCACTCAACAAGCCACTTTTCGTCACACGTCACAATTCCATCCAATATTCCTTCAATCCTGTACCGATTCAACACATGTTTCAACACGCATTTCTTTCTGCATATCAGTCAAATCATGAGGCACCAATTTTTCATATTTTTTTAACTTATTGATTTGATGCAAATGCGTCAATATTGTAGGTAGGGTAACGTTAAACCATGCCGCTAATTTCTGGGTAGTTTGACTCGGATCGATTTCCACCATCTCGAAAGTTCGAAGTTTCCATAACGAAATCGTTTAAACCAAAAACGCAAGGTGCGTTTACTAGCAGCCTCCTCACCAAACGCGTTGATACTGCCAGCCGTTTCTGCCGTATTCAAAAGTGACTCGGATTTTCAAAATCCATCTTTCACGTCTAAGCTGAATAAAAAAACAAATTGAAAGTCTAAAATCGAATGTTGCACATTGCACATTTTTGTAAAGAAGAACCTAATAGATATTATGTGAAAAAAGTTTCCATGAAGGTTTATGTCAATTCAAAGTATCCATTACTCTAGTACCTATAAAACGGCAATTTCATACTTTAACCCCTATTACTTACTATTTAGCCTTACAAACCAATCTTATTATACTTCTTATATATTTTTTTATTATAGAGTTTAAGTAGTTGATGATATGAAAACAATTTGTAATACTTATTGTATTCCTTCTTTTTTTTGTGCATTTATTTCAGTAACCCATAAAAGCCATACCTGTGTAGCTGGTAACGCGGTGAAGGAATCGCCAAAGGGATCTGTAGATGGTGTAAGTCCCTCCACTTGTGTGAGGCCCCTACGAAGCGAACTGAGTTCTTGTTCTAAGTCAACCAGTTCTGCCACTCCACCCTCAGCGCCTGTGTCCACACTCTTCGAAGTTGTTGTACTGGTCTCTCCCGTTGACGTTATACTCTGGTAAAAGAATTAAAATAGGCATATATTAGTTAGTTTGTTTGTTGCCTAACAATTTGTTAGTGTGGTATATATAATGAAGCACTGACAATTACTAGAGAAATGTAATTGTGCCAGAGCTTGTAAATTAAAGTATAAAAACGAGTAGTTTGAAAAAAAAATGTAGATTTTCTAATTTCTTATTTTCTTTTGATTCTCTATTGGTCTATTTACCTCTCGTCTACCTGCTGATAGCTTCCTTTTGTTTCATTATTTCTGGAGCTACAATGAATCATCATCATCAACATAACATAATATAGAATATTAATACGGCTGTAGGCTTTTAGTAAAATCTTTATGTAGAACAAAACCTTTAGTACTTCGTTAAATGATAAACTAACAATTAAAAGCTAACCGAAGAATAACAATTCAAATAAGCAGCTTTGTTAGATTGAAATCAGAATAATAGCACCTAATCTCTCAGCCATGAAGGAGACTATCCGGATCTAGTGAGTTATTGCACAAGTAGGTACATTAAATACAATAAGAATGCTATTAATGAATAAAATAGCATATAAAATCTACTAGACATTGTCTTCTTCTTGACTTTTTGTTTTATTCTATTGACTAAACTAGACCTTTCAACTAAATTATTAATTGGATAATATTGTTATGTAACGGTTTCACATATTTTTTAACTTTATAGCACATATTCTTTAAAACATTAAATAATGATTAAATAAATTAAACTTTAAGCTTTGTGTAGTTCTTTTATATAAAAACATTAAATTATCCAATTATGACATGTTCCCGTGTGTTATGCTGTTTAACAAAGGGTACAAAGAGTTTTCTTCTATGTGAACAATGTTCGCATGTGAGAATTAATTAAAAACAACGGCAGACATTTAACAACTTTTGTTTTGAGAAGAATATATGTATAACAAGTACAAACAACCAGGTTTCACAGCTTATTTTCCAGTTGTTATATACCTAGATTAATGCCTTATATCGCAAGAAAACATTACTAGCATAGACAGGGAATTTATAGTCAAGAATTTATAAAAGGTTTTTACAAATGCCGTTCCTTTGTTTAAAAGAGATTTTTTCAAGTAAAACGCCGTATTTTGACTGATGTAACCAAAATTATATTAACATTTAGGTTTAATTAATCATACTTTTATATATTTTAAATTTGCACATGCAGCAAAAAATCATCTTGTGACGAAAACATTTTTTTTTATCCATAACTTTGCTTCAATGTTTTACAATCTTTATTTTTGGTTAAAAAGACAACTCCCGCACTAGAAATATATATATCTTGTGTAACTTTGCAAACATTTATAAGACCTACACCCATACTACTAAAAAGAACACCCAGACTCAGAACAACAATTTGTTGATCTCACTAAGTTTTGTCAACTTTGGTGATCGAAACCTCAACACTCAGCGCTGTAGGAAGAGGCGAGATGACCGCTTAAACCACTACGCCATCCGTGCAGTCAAGTTTGACAAAATCTTTTTTTTAAATCCTGTTCGTGAAAGACCCTCAGCTCAACAGAGCAGGTCCAAGTACGATCGGCTCTTGATTACTAGGAAATACTAGTACAAAAACGCTGTGAGTGCACAATGGATATATGTATATACTTATTTGATATATTTCCATAGTGCATTAATGTGTAGTATAGTGCATATCACTAACAAAAATATTATAAATAAAACAACGTACCCGATTTTATTATTACCACAAACTTCAATGCTGTTGGTCATTGACCTGCAGATTATGTCGAAACTGTAGGTATAGTGCAATGACCGACAATCGTTATCCTTGTAGCCTTAACCATGAACTATCGATGTAAAATACATGATAAGAGTAACGATTCCAGAATTTACTGATAATAAAACAGTAACTTTGTACAAGGACGTCTGTTTTGTAAACAATATACCAGGAAAAATACTTAACCGTGACCTGGAGCGAAATAGTCAATATTTACACTTCTAAATCTATCACGATCTTTTCACTAGCAGGTACACGGGATATAAATAGTACTTATAGACACTTATACTGACGTAAATCAAACTTTAAGTGAAATTCATAGAATAAAAAGATCAAAAAAATACTGAAGTCTGGCAGCACAGCATAAATCAAATTGTGTACAAAAATACATAAATTACTAATCGGTACCCGCGACTATATCTGCATAAAGTTAATGCTTCAAGTAGCCCATCTTTCTATTAGTACCTATTCCCTTTAAGTTTTTATTTGTGATAATTGTAGCCTATTTTTAACCGACTTCAAAAAAAGGAGGAGGTTCTCAATTCGACTGTATTTTTTTTTTTTTTTTTTTTTTTTGTATATTTGTTACGCGATTACTCCGGCAATTATAAACCGATTTGAATAATTCTTTTTTTATTTGGTAGGTCATACGTCAGAGGTGGTCCCATTGTCACCAGGTCAGGATCTGATGATGGGATCCTGGGGAAATCGAGGGAAACCCTCAAATTTTGTAGGCATATACACTGTTTATCAGAAATTATCTTAATCTATGTAGATTTTTGCATCTAATGGTCACCATCTGATGTTGCTGAGCTGATGATGAAGCTGATGATGAATGGTTTAGGAGTATGGGATCTCTGTAACAAAATTATGTAATACCATCGAATTTGAATGTGTTTGAGTCTAATTAATAAGGACTCCGATCCTATGTGATATTCAGGGTCTGATGATGGAGACGGTAAATAGCCATGGGAACTCTGTAATAAAATAAAGCAATTCCGCCGTGTTTGTGCTCATTTGATTCGTCTCGACTAGGAGCTTCATGCTAGTCGATTTTTAACCAACATCAAAAAAGGAGGGTTTTTGATTCGACAGTATGTTTTCTTTTTGTATGTTTGATACGCGATCATTCCGCCAATTTTGACAATCGTACATTTTGTTTGTCTACGGCACCTAGGATACACGGATACGATAAACATTTTTAGAGTTGGGCTGTGAGTGTGAGCGTTTATTTATGACCTTAAAAATCACACTTACTTCCCACGAAAAATTAAAAAATTAAATTATTTTTTAAAAAAATTGAAAACTTCAATCAACTAAAAAGCAATTTTTAACCGACTTCCAAAACACAAAAGAGGAGGTTCTCAATTCATCTGTATTTTTTTTTTATGTATGTTTGTTCCGTGATTTCTCCGTCAATTGTGGACCGATTTTCAAAATTCTTTTTGTTATCGAAAGGGTATGCTCCCGAATTGGTCCCATTATCACCAATTCAGGATCTGATGATGGAATCCTAGAGAAATCGAGGGAAACCCTCACAATTATTGGGAATTTGACAGCCCCGACAACGTGTTTTAGCTACGAGCATTTCTTTTGCCAAACAAACCATGGCAACCGTCAGAGACTGCGCGATGTGATGCGCAGAGAACTTGCAGTATTTATGTCCCTACAGTAATTTTCGTTGTATTAAGAAGAAAAGGTTGAAATTTTGTATTCTATCTTGTTAAAATAATTCGGATAGACGTTTTGTTGCTATGGATGGCATCGCATTTCGTTTGTAAGTAATTTTATACTTAACTAGCTGACCCGGCGAACTCTGTTCCGCCTTAAAGGCAATAAATAAGCCGATTTTCGAATTTAGTAAGTTAATTTTTTTCTTAGAAAAAAATTAACTTACTGGCATCGCCGAGTAAAGCAAAGTTCGTGCAAACTTTGTTTTTTTTTTTTTTTCGGAATAAATAGTATCCTATGTCCGTCTCCTGGCTCTAAGCTACCTCCTCACCAATTTTCAGCCATATCGGTAAAGCCGTTCTTGAGTTATAAATAGTGTAACTAACACGACTTTCTTTTATATATATATAGATTTATTAAAATAGTTCTGGAAAAAACTCTTAAATTTTGTGTGGGTCAACTTTCTAAGGAGAGGCCTATGTCCAGCAGTAATTTAATATAATATTTAATATAATCTAACAAACTACAGTTTGTTACTATAGATTACGGTACGTAGTGTTTTAAATATCGTACTTATCTACTCATTACAAACATATCTTACACTAAAAATTGTAAAATAAACCCTTTTAAAAAAAAAGTTGAACCGACTTCAAACAACACCGACAAAGAGCACTAAAAATTAAAAAATAATTACAAATCTAAGTAAAAAACTATAATAAGTACCCTCAATGTAACAGGTAACATTATAATACCAATAGTCCCTTCTAGTCTGTTTGAAGTCGGTGCCAAGCTCGATGCACAATAAGTAATACTGGTCTATGGCAGCTGTATATTAGCACAATGAAAAATTAAGAATTCAAAATAATTGTAATGAAACATCGAAGATTTTGTTAATAATAAAGACCAACCAGATAAATTACGTGCGCAAACTTATCAACTACTTATTAAAGCATTCAAAATAATAATATAATTGGAGATGTGCGTCCACTTTAGCTCGTTCAACATGTTTTGCGCAGCATGAAGACTGTTGCAGCTGCCGCGCTACATTCTACCATGCCTATCAAGCACCTATTTGGCTTGGCACCGACTTCAAACAGACTAGAAGGGACTATTGGTATTATAATGTTACCTGTTACATTGAGGGTACTTATTATAGTTTTTTACTTAGATTTGTAATTATTTTTTAATTTTTAGTGCTCTTTGTCGGTGTTGTTTGAAGTCGGTTCAACTTTTTTTTTAAAAGGGTTTATATATTTAACCTTCTCCAAAGTCCCTTTTACTCTACACGTAAAGGAGAATGCCTATTTTAGTATGAAAATCACTTTCACACTTATTTTGGCTGTATCTAATGTATGTATATATACAGCATTACTAAGCCTGCATTGAGTATCATCTGAAATATAAACGTATAATGTAATAGAACTTGGGGTTATTGACAAATTCAATGTCAATATTGTTGAGAAATAAATGGCGATTAGTAGGTAAACCTCCTTTCTAAGGAGAGGCCTATGTCCAGCAGTGGACTCTTATAGGCTGTTGACGATGATGGTGATGAGTAGGTAGGTATAATAACAACAACGAGAAAATATTGTGGCACTGAGGGTAAAATTTTATCTTATAATGTTTGTGGCAAAATTAACACACTTAAGTATACATTCACTAAATAGACTACGACTACATACCCGAAATAATAAGTTTACTAAACTGCAATATATTTTAATTTGACATTACGAATTATTTGACCATTTTATTTTAAAACGATGTTTATTAGCATTTAACCTTTAATGGTTTATTTTATATAATAGCTTAACTTTAAATGGCAACTTTGAATCATATGGATCCGGCAAGCAAAGGCGGCTTTCCCGCGCATACACCGAAGATTTTATCGCAAGCAGCTACAAGTTCCACGACCAAAAGGAGGCAGAAGAGATACATATGATGTCGATTTACAAAACTCGTCAATACCATATCACATCAACTCAGTATAGTGGTAAGTGCTATGTAGAAATAAAATTTATCACGTGTCGCGTAAGGTCCTTTGTGTGGATGCGTGAGGACAATGCATCGTGCAAGGACGTCGGGATCTCAAGGTGTTCAAGATAATAAAATAAGCTAACCGACGAGTATATTTTAACAGTCTTCTTTTTACTAGTACCTACGCAGTTAGCCATGGCAAGTAAAATAGTAAATGAAAATTCATTGATCGGGATCTGTTGGACCATAAATTTCTAAAGCCAAAAAAAAAGAAAATCGATTAACATTTTCTCAATTATGCAAATAATAATAGGTATAAGTTGCGTTACATCATCCGTTGTAAAACATTAAGTGTTATATCAGAGGGTTTCAAAAGAATGATGATAACATCAATTATATCATATAAATAATATAGGTAACTTCAATAATATTATTTATATTATGACACGCAAAATGGATAAATAAAAATGAGTGATCCTTATAATAGTCGTATAAGAGATCTCACCTACTACCTATCTGAGAGCCAACTCTAGAATCGCTACTGCTCATTGGTTACACATTTCCGTCCGTTTTCACGAAAATTACTCACACAGATTTCAGGAAAACGAAAGGAATGAAGTGAAAGGTTAAGTTAAGGTTAAGGGTCCAGCACGCGGACAATTATTTCATATAAGACGTCTTTAACGTATGCTTGGTTGTTAGTCTGTAGATTATCCAGTTAATGTACCGACAATTTATTCCACTTTTTGTTTGTTTTTATTTTGAAGATTACCATTATTTTCTATTTAAGTTTTTTTTTTCAATTTCGCAGAGGTTTTTCTGCTGATTGTATTTTATATGAACTTTCAATACGGAGCAATCTAATAGTATTTCGGGTAGTTTTAATATTGCTGGTATATGGTATATATTGTCAGGCATCGTAATATACAGTGTCTACTGTATGTCCTTTGTCTGTCCTAACTAATGTTATTATTAACGCGAATGTGAGAAGCTTTGCAGAGTGTGTGATTATAATGCTTACAGTACAGGCGTTAACTTCTCAACCAATCATCATGTAATTTTTCCAGAACAACAGAAAAGGACATATACAGGGTGTAAGGGACGTCGTAATAAATAGTTAAATACAGTCCCCCTATTACACGGTAGATTTGTTCTGCGTTATAGGAACGCGTTATACGAGAATACTCCTATTCTCGTATAACGCGCTTGTGCAAATGATCACGTTTTACTTTTCTCGTTAAAGGGGGTTTAAATGGAATTACGAACTAATGAACTAATTATGAACTCTACAAATCATCATAAATTTCACAGTACAGAAATATAACGTGGGAAATCCCTACGTCATATTTAATAAATACCGCGTACGGTCTGCTGCAACTGCAATGTAATTAATCAAACAAACGAAGCGCTTGCCCCCCCCCCCCCCCCCCCCCGCCGGCCGCCTTAGGTGTTAGTGTGTGTAGACGGTTTGCACGGGATACACAGGTAGTTATTACTTTTGTGCGATGCCTACGGGGAATGACCTTAACGTTTGACAGGTGATTGCATTTTATACAATGTTTACAAACGTTTTATACAATGATTTTCGACTCAAAATGATGGTCTATACACACTATTTCAGTATTCGTTACGACATCCCTTACGCCCTCTATTTCAACCAAAGCGGTTCAGCGGTTAAGCGTGAAGAGGTAACAGACAGACAGAAACATTTTCGGCATTTATAATATTAGTATGCATAACAAATATTGGCAATATCAGCTTTGTATTTTTGGATCGAATAATTTAGATTAAAGATAGTATTATCCTGTAATAGGTACCACAAATCATGATATTTATGAGCCATATAACTTCGTTTCTATCCTACTAATCCTACTACTAATTTTGTTTATTTACTATAAATTATTTAACATTTAACTATAAATTATTTAACGTTTATTTACTATAAATTATTTAACATGGGTACTCCATGAAGTCAAATATCAGTATAGTAGTTGTAGCCAATTGTTATTTATTTCCTCAGTATAATTTCGTTACGTATTTTGTTATTGATTAATTGTCAACTGTAAAGCCAAGCACTATTCCCTTTCACCGACTTTAATACGCTTAAATTCTTCTTTTATTCCTGTGTCACGGGGGACTATAAACATACATGAAACGGACACTAAGAACATCCAGACTCAGAACGACAATTTGTGGATCACACAAAGTGTCATCCCATATGGAGATCGAACCCACAACACTCAGCGTAGTTGGAAGCGGCGTGGCGACCGCTTAAACCACTACGCCATCCGTGCAGCCGTGCAATTGGGAGCTTATACGCTTAAATATACATTTCTTAATTTCCCAGAGGTGAAGTAATGTATTTCAAACATTAATGGGACCAACCTTGAGTACAACTAATTAAATTAAAATAAGAATGATTGAAATGGGTTCCCAAACGTTGAAGATATTAGCGTGTATGTACACGCAAAATATTAAATTGAGCCCTTCCTCCTTTTTGAAGTCGGTGAAAAAGTAAATAAATGATGATACAGACGTCATGAGTCGTCGTTTTAATAAATGAGAAAGTGATTTTTATAATACACTTTTTCAGGGATACATACCTAAAAGGCATATTGGACCTTCCATACGGAAAACAATATTATTACTTTAATTATTATTTTTTACTGGCTGACCCGGCAGACGTTGTTCTGTCATATAAATGTTGCAATTAAAAAGTGGGGGTGGGGGAGGGTGAATAATACTTTACGACCCATTCTTATACTTCTAAATATACAAAAAAAAATCATTAAAATCGGTCGTGCCATTTTGGAGGACCACACCGTGACACGAGATATTTGTATATTAGAAGATTAGTAAGTTTCTACGGAACCAGTAATTAGACTTGATCGTCAATTACCGTATTTTTAAGAGTTTGATGTCTGAAATATAGCTAGTCTAAATATATAGCGTGTGATATTTTCATGGTTACTGTTAATTATATGGGCAATTTCAGGCAACAACATTATAGGTAGTTTGCTTTTAGAGTCATGATTAACTTGTGTAAAATAAACTTCAGGTTCAGGCTTTCAACTCTACCTTGATTTGTCCTTAGAGGATAAAAATACATTTATGTCTATGGACAATCTCAAAATTATGATAAAAATACCTTTTTCTGGATATTAATGAACACTTCAGGAGGTAACAGCCACATCTTCATATTAACACTTTACACCGAACGATTAAACTAATAATATGTGCAACGGTCAGCAACCATTTCGATACTGTTTGTTGATATTAAGATACCGAGTTATTCGATGTTTGAACAACAATCGATTTGACACATCATCGTACAATAGTATTATTGCTATTGTTGGAAGCGAGAGAGCATTTGACTGGTTGGCATGTCGACTATTGCAGCGAAATTTAATTTTTAGCGGGATAGGAACATTCCAGGTCGAAAATTGGAAGGAAAAAGATGTCTCTGTGTATATATTTGTAATTACGTCATCGAGTATTGAGCAGCTAAGCGGAGCATCTAATCAAAAATCGACTTAAAATTTCAGTTGTTTCAGTTCCATTCGTGTTTAAGTTTATTTTTCAAAAAAAACTAATAAAACTATTACCATTACGAATACACGGCTATACTAATGTGTGCATTTTGAAAAAGCTCAACTAGCTTCGACCCGAGGGGGGAAAATTACCAAGGGATGAAATTACCCGCCGCATCGGTGTTATTCGGGCTTCGCCATATAAATAAGATTACTATTCCTATAAATTGCTGTTTAAATATCAAAATCACAAAACTTTTCCATTGTGATAGCAGCCTGACAAACATTAGTTATATTTGTCTTTCCTCCCTTGTCCCCCACACTCGCCTAGAGATAAACTAGTCCATTGAAATAGTTAGATAACGCGACACAAGGCACTCTTTGGTGTATGATATAACTACTGCTGACATAGGAAAAAAATATTCAAGATAAAGTTCAACTCAAACATTTATCGTCAATTAAAATTCTTCCAAAGTACTCAAATTCTATTTTGAAATCGCTCGTTGAATTCAGCGAATAATAATCTGTCAATTATAGCCTCTACATCTTAATAACAGCATAAATACAATTCATCAGCGACCAACAATCCTGGAAAAAATACTGAAAAAGAATGTTTAGAATATAATTAAGTTAATAATTACCTTAATTTTACTTTCAGTAGATGCATTGGTCGCGTGCCTGATGAGACTGCTGGTAACCGTCTTGCCTTCGAGCTGTTGCTTGGCCATCTCAACTTCTTTTTTCTTGAGTTCAAACACCACTTGAAATAAATCTCTCATCGCTATTACTACCTACAAAAAACAAGACATGTTTGCTGTAATATACAATCTTGCTTACTGTCTAAAAGCTTTTCATGTTTTATTATTTTCATCCAAAGCTTTTCGGTAAATCGTTGCATTGTAAAAAATACTTGGTGTTTACAATAGTTTATTCTATTATTTGTATCATGTTTTCTCCCTCAAATGTACCATCACTATATATAAGCCGATCCGACCGACTTTTATGACAGTCGTTTTTATAAGAATTCATAATCCCACCTAAGAATTCTGTAAATGTACTAATTTATGTCTATTTCTTGTATTAAGAATAATAGGATTATAAGTGTCTTACATGTGTGTGTATTTTGTTCATAACGGATTTTAAAATAAAATATGATGTCCTGATTATTCTTTCTGAGTATGAGCAGATCTTTAAAACATATTAATATGCTTAGATTACACCCTGTCAAAACAGGTTTTTCTGATACCTTTAATATATGTATTTGATTAATGTGCTTCTCATTCTCCTAAACGTATAGTAACTATAATTTTTAGATATAAGTCCATAAGAATACAATTGATGATGTAGAGAGTCAAGTAACTGCTGAACTTGTAAACTTCATGTGGTACGAGAATTAGTTTACAGTATGTACTTTAATATGAGTATTAATATTAGTATTAGCATATACTTAGGCAACAATAGGATACAAACTACGCTGGCGATGAAACACAAGTGCGCGAATGTGACTGGATCCAATTTGGACCACCAAAGAGGCTTGAGTATGGAAATGCAATATACTTACTCGAACATAAATCATTCTATAGGTACATTCTTGAATACGATTATGCAGGCAGAGATGTATATTAATCATGAAAGAATCCCCAGAAAACTTTTTATCCCTACTGGTAGCGATAAACGAAAGAAATCCAACGATCCAACTATCTCTACCAATGCAATCAGTACAAAGTCCTTCAATTTAAAACAAAAGCGATCAGTAGGGATATATGGAGCAGAAGTTTCCATATATTCCTAACGGGAACGATAATTGGAAAAACTCTAAGTATCCCTACCAGTGGAGATATATCAGTAGGGATATATGGAATAAGGCTATTCAACGACCTCAAGTCAAGTCAATGGGGCACTTTTTCAATAATAAAGATATGGAATTGGGATACATACCTTTTAAGATGAGGCACATGAAGGCATACAGATTTGTAGAGTGTAAACTGTAGCTAGAGCATTTAAGGGGTAGGTGGATTACGTACATTATAGGATTATATTTAAACTTACTTGACTAGCAGCTTTATCAGTCTTGATTCCAAAAAACCGGTGTCCGGTGTCAGGTGAACCGAATATATATCCGAACGCTCTGGAGTCGGTCATGTCCTGAGCGATAAACGAGATCTTGTGCACCGGGTGATGATACAGGGAATCCTATCATCAAAAGTTAATATAAGTTAATGGTAAAATATCAGTCATAGTCAGCTAGGTGATGTGGATTAACAGTTAAAAATAAATGGTGTATTAAGTTGAATTACCGTGGTCATTTTCACTTGATAAGTTTGGTAAATCAAAACACAGTAATTTTAATTTTACCTAGCCGATTTTCTTTGTTTTTCTAGAAGTAATAATTTATCAGCATTATTTTATAATGGTCATGTTTAAATTGTTTGAGAAATAAAGTATTTTGAGTCTCTGTTTCTTCGGCTTCTGTTCCTGTTTCCTTCTTTAGGTACAGGAAGCAAAGAATCAGACGGGTTACCTGATTTGAAGTGACTACTGTCCCCCATGGACACCTGCAACTCATGAGAGACAACTGCCTTGAAGACAATTTAGAGGGGAGTTAGTGGTTGAAAAACAACGAAAGGGTCACCAAATAGGGCTTTTAGTGAAATGAACGCACATTTTCACACTTTGCAGTCTTTTCGTCACGATATCGCAAAGTAGGCGGCTAGGCGCTGAGCCGACCACGGCATACGAAATTAGCTCAAATTCCATTCAATTTTTATTTTTGGTAATTTCAAATTATCAAATTTTAACATTCATTCATTTCACTATCCTGCCTTTAGCTGAAGCTGAATAATCGATGATGGTAAAAGAAATATATGTATATTGTTTTAATTAACGATCGATTTTAACTCAACCTGTTTCTAATACAATTTACATAAAGGGGTCATAACACTTGGTATACAAAAAGTTTACAGTCACAATATTTAAATGTATGATGTTCATAATTATGTGTTTAAGTCCTTTATAATTACGAACTTGACTGTTGTATGAGTGAATAATGTATGCCGTTAATTGTTTTATTCTAGTGTTTATGTAAGGTATATTATATTGTATGAAAATATGTGTATGTATAATGTTTGACAAAACTAAAGAACAATCAAGTATGACTGGTTTCACCTATTCTTTCTGTTTGTACATTTTATTTCCGTTAAAATTAGTCGAAGAAGTAAGTCACTTAAAAATATAATATACCGAAGGAAGTCAGTTGAGTTTAAGTTGAGTTGAGATGCCATTTTAATAAAAAATATTTTTTTTTTTTTTTTTTTTTTTATTTGTGAGAACATTTTTTTTTTTCAGAAATTCATAGACATTACTTTTTGTGCGTCTTCTGGCTTTATTTCAGATTTTGCCTTGTTTGTTTTGGTGACTAGGGTCTCCTTACATATTAAGACGAAATTGGGCCGCCACGTCGCGATTGAGGGGGGAAGTGATATTCCCCTGGGATAGGGCCTGACTAGGCATGGTGTCAATTCGGGGAGGACCTGAAATAACATGGTCCGGGTCCTCCCAGAGTAGGGCACCTGAGGCCGGCCGTCGGGGTGGTTTTTAGTGGAATCACCACATACTCCTAGCTTCTAGCCCCGAGGAGCAGGAGATCCGAAAAAAAAAAGAGTCTCCTTACATATCAATCTGCATGATCTTGTTATTTAAAAAGCAGCAAATAAATTACAATTTCTCAGTAACCTAAACAGATAGGCTCCTTAATAAAGGCCATTTTCAAAGCTATTGATATGACGAATTCTGTATAATCCATCCATATTGGTAGTTGAACCTGACACTTGAATTTTAGTATTGTGTAAACAACGTTTTTAGATAAGATTACATAAATAGTGTAGTACATACCCCAGTCTTATCATCCCTGAGCCTAAGTCCGTCAATCGCTACATGAACTTGTATCCGTTGCTTGTGTTCTCCAGCGGCGCGTATAGCCATTTTGAGGTCTGCCAGCGCTTCCTGACACATCCTGTCCCCCCGCGCCTCAGGGACTTCCAGCACCCCGATCAGTTTCGCGCGGAACGACACCCCCTCGCCCAGGAAACGGCCAGGCTCGTTCTTATCTAAACAAATTACAATGCCGATAGGTACAAGTACTTTTGACGACATCTTCACCTCGATGAACTGTATACCAATGCCGCTATGCCGTGTCGTTGGACGTTATTGTTTCATACACAAATGGAATATTTTCATAATAAAGACATAGTTGTTAAGTTATTTAAAGTCCTTACTAACGATGGAAGGTCACACTACAATATAAAACAAAAGCTAAAACTAAGCAGTTAGCAGCTAAATATAAAATTAGAAGCGTTAGTAAAGTGCACACAGAAAGGCTTTCTTCACCTTTGGACGAATGACTTTTTGATTCGATCTTCTTTAATGTCATTTTTTAGTAAGTATTATCCTTTTTTTATAGATAGAACAACAACGCGACGGTTTCAGAGCAAAATAAAAGTGAGCGTCGTCCTATTTTGGCCCCTGTTTACGGTGCATCATTCCCGCTTTAATTGAATTTCCTGCTTTTAAATTTAGAACCTCAATAGCTGAGCACCAGTCAGTACCTGTGTTATGACTCTACACATACAACATTTTTCGCACGAAACACTGTGATAATTTGTAATTAAATATTGACTCTGCATAGATAACAATAAATTTTGAGAATGAATAGAGTATCCACACTGCGTATTACTTTTGTGTTGTAGATAGGTAGACAAGTATTATTTGGGCACCGAGACATCTGACTAGGTATACTTTGGTACTTAGTTGAAACAATATGTATAATTTTGAAGAATTTTGTTACATTTAAAAAACAATGATCAATAAACTAATTGCTGAAAAAAAAATTGCTTTAGACAAGAATAAATATTTAAGAAATTAAAATTTAGAATCTCGATAGTAGTACCTGTACCTGTTTTATGACTATAAACATTTACACGTTTTTCGTGCGAAATACTGTGACTATTTTTATTTAAATATTGACGCAGAATCATAAAAGATAATTAATTTTGAGAATGAAGTAAGCACCCAAGTATCCACACGGCGTATTTAAATAACAATATCCAACAAGCTAATTATAAAAAAATAAACAAAAAAACTCGTCTGCGTAAAAATGTATACTTGAAATTTGCAAACCGGTGGTTTCAATTTATTAATTTTATACACTCAGTGTCACTCACAATTAAGAAACATCTCACGACACCTCAATTTATCAAGCCGTTTAGGCAACAGACCGTGCCAAAAAAATATATGTACCTACATACATACACTCGAAAAATATAACCCTCCTTCTGGCGCAATCGGGTAAAAAATATAACATTAACTTCATCAAATATTTTCTTTTTAAGATCTTAGAAATCACAATTTGTGTCATTAACACGTTACGTTTCAAAACAGTAGACAGGTATATATGATACAAAGTCAGTACGTAATAAATATAGTACCTAATCTTTATTTTACTATTTAAACATACAGAAATGAGGCGACAAACGTATAAATTATAAATATGGTGGCAAGTAAAATTTACATAAGAAGCAGTTGTAAATAATGAAGAAGCACTCTACTTGCGAGACTAGCGCCGGGCGTACACACACAAGCATGATATTTTTGTATCTATGGGCAGATGTACTCACCGAACTGCCGCAAGAGATGCTGGAAATGACACACCTGCATATTTTCCGTACAAACCGACAAATAGCAAGTTATCACGTTAGTTTCCCCGGTGCACCGACGCTCCACATCTGCCAGGAGCCCACAACACACCCTCTGTCCAAAACACCACGGGGGTCACTCAAGATGACATGGGACTAGCAAGTGATGGTAGAAAGGTACTGAGTCCACCGCCAGTTAATAGTTGAGACTCCTAACCGCTCCATGCATAAAAAAAACCGCAAAATATAACAAAGCTATATGCGAATTAAGTGATCGGGTAACATTTAGCGCTATCTAAGTATAATAACACCGAATTACCGTATGGAAAGTATATAAAATATCGTGATCAGAAGCTTAAAGTTGATCTAAACACGTTACAAACTCACATTTGCAAGGGCTGGTTTTCTTACGGAGGGTTTGCATTGGAAAGTCAGTCGGTAACTTGTGATTGAACATCGGAACTTTTTATATGTTCACTGAAATATAAATACACTATTGGAACACACTCCACTCCGCCCGGCGACTACATTACAGGCACTGTTAATATAAATTATAATATCCAACGTTAAACTACGAGATTTATTGATTTTTATGCCCTCGTTAGTCGTTCGCAATATGCGGTATTGCGCTCGATATTAGCCGCTATCGAATGCACATGGCGACTGAGATGACCTCGTAAAAGGAAGATACAGGAATAGCACTTCGTTTGTGGTTTTAACATTACTGTATAATAGGGAAGGCAATGGAAGGCCCCGACTACAACGGTGGTCCTCCACATGGGCGCGGAGCGCACGCACTCAGACCGGCGCGCGCATGCCGGGCAGGCGCCCCTCCCGTCGAGCCGCGCACACACGCGCAACTAACCACCCCTAATCAATATTCGCTCCCGGTCTTCGTTACGTACGACTTTTATGGTTCTGTCAATGAAACTGTGTCAAATATTTGGTGTCAGGATGTGTTCAACATTTTGCGGATTTTTTCTTATTTACGGCACGCTAGTGGTTTTAACTGGTAAAGTGTTTTAAATTCTTGTATATGAAAACTCTTTTCATATAATTGTATGTTGACTTTGAGATATAATTTATCATGTTGTCATCTGATGTTGTGTTGTAAACTAAAGACACCTTCAGTCTGATAAGATAATGTAGGAAAATAAAGTAAATGTGGCTCTAAACATTTATTAGTATTTGACTTTTTTGTTACCATAATAATAATTTGTTATTCTATCAAGTATTATGATTAAGTCAATAATAACAATTTTTTAAATGTAAAACATGGTGAAACAAAAAATATTATGACTGTTTTATTGTTGTTTAAATGGAAAATTTAAAAAATTTAAGTATTAGTAATTAGGATGTAAGTGCATATTTATTACACTACAATATGCCTTAACCATGAAGAAAGTCAGTATCCTAATTAAAATTGTCAATCTTGTTTCAAAATTGTTTATCTAGTCCTTATTATTTAATTTTAACTCTATGTCCATCATCATTAACAGCCTTTATTAGTCTACTGCTGGACATAGATAGAGGTTTTGGCCTACCCTACCACGCTGGCCAGAGTGGTTTGTATAGGGATTGTTCATGTTGTACTACTCCCTTAGTTAGCCCTTACAACACCCCCAGGATGAATAGGGGTTTATGGGTGTAACTGTTTCTTATTTTTAAAACTTGATTGCAAACAAATAAATTATGTCTGAAATAGGTATCATTATTAAATTTAATATTATATTTAGTATAAAATATTTAACTTATTATTAAAAAACTACAGCTTGCTGCCCATTTAAACTTTTAAATTTTTAAGTAGATAATAATAAATAAATCTTAATAGTCTGTAATATTAAGTTTTTTGTGCTATACAAATTTTAACATAAAACAGGATACTTTACTTAAAATATTTCATTTTTTCTTTTTATTTTAAATATTTTACAATTATAATTGATCTGTTAAATTCTAAACAAGTTCTTACATCTCTTGTAGGTTTCATTCTCAAAGATGAAGAATGCAACATAAATTGCTTGCAATCGCATGCAATTTATATTGCATTCTTAATAACCGGAAAACAAGAAGGTTAAGTAATTTGCAAAACAACCAAAATGTGATTTGGTTTTAAAAACTAATGCACACAAATAAATAATTGCAATTACCTATCAATAAGTTTACAAGTAATAACATAGTTATTTTAAAGTTACCTTTATTGACAGCCATAATCTAATTGGAAGATCTTCAAATCCAAAACATGTTCGCGGATGTTATAAAACAGTTTCTTTAAAAGAAAACAATTCACATAATAATTAATAGGTTCATGACAGTATAAATTATGAGTAGTTCTAAAATAAGCAACTACTTTAGCTCTTTCTTACTGAATCAAACTGTAATATAAAAATAAAAAACAACGTTCTATAGGGAACTGTTATGAATTGTAAATATAATTGGAATATCTTGGCTTCTCATCTCGTACTTTGACGTTGACAGTTGAATGAAAGATGACAGTGAAAGCTTAATTTATTTATTTCATGATTGTGGATACGGAGTCTTTTAGTCGCAAACAGATGGCCTTAGACTGGACAAGACAGCATTTCATTAGAAAATAGATGTTCGTGATTGGAGGACAAGTTACATAAAATAATAATTCTGTTCTGTTATTTTACTGTTATGCTTAAATAAATTGCTGAGACTTCTGTCTCGTCGATCATGAGCACCAAAGTGATGTATTTTTTTATTGGATAAAGTGTTCCTTACGCTTTATGTTTTACACATTTATTAAATAATCATTACTGTGACCGTTTAAAATATTATACGAAACTATCTTCAATTCCAATATCTTCATTTAGATGACACTAATATTTGGTTTTATATTTTGAACTTCAAAGCTTCATTTACTTTTAGCCAAACTACTCAACGTATAAAAATAAGTATTTTAACTTAGCAGCGCACATATCGCATCCATTTTTTTTTTCTCTTTGCTTATACAAGCATAATTCTTCTTTCTTTGACACAACTTCGATTTTACCTTGATTTAAGACAGATCACCTAAAGGTTACAAATTAGAGAGAATAAGACAATGAGTTTAATACTTGACAACATTTATCAAAAGCGGACTGAATCTTGTCAAACCTAGTTGAATCGGTTTGACAATTCATTCGAATCGGTTTGAAACCGAACCGTTGAAGTTGCAGTAAACCGCGGTTTGAACTGTAAGGAGTCGGCCATCGAATGTAAAATACGAAAGCAATGTGCAACATGATTCAACAGGATTAATTAAACAGTCGTTTTACGGTTTGCAACCGAGTTTCCACACAAGTGTAAAACTTGACATTACCTATACTAACCGACGATGCAATGAATTGATTGGTAGTTTATTGAGAGCTAAGGGCAATACAACAAACTACCAGGTCAAGTAACACGATTACCATGCCTTCTTTTTTTCTCATTTGGTGGATAAAATAAAAATATGTCCTTTAGAGCTGGTTAGTAAAACGATTTATGTATCAAATTATTATTAAACGAGGCGTGCTAACCGTATCCGATTTTGTAGGAACATCATAATATAGTTTGTGCTAGTAGGTAAATTGATAAAGATTTAGTGTAGTGTCGTGTCGACACGGTTTAGAGTCATTTGGTAGATAAATCAGTTATGTTCGGTCGGTAAAGCAGAAGCCACGAGCGCGATGGTACGACGCGAAGTACGGTGCGATGTAAACTACGGGCAATTCAACTCGGTCATGTTAAAATCGGTTGAAAAGTCGAGTCGTCACACCACTAGTATCAGCTGGTTGTCGATTAGTGGCACAAGCAAAACAGTGAAGGGTTATAGATACGATAGGTTATTCAACCTGAGACGAATAAAATGAGTGTAATTTATAAAAACTGTGATTACTATTTCATTGATCACAGGGAATATATTAACAATGTATACCGTAATGTATCTGTTAATGAAACTGTCGCAGTTTCATACACAATTTCGTCAAAATTATTTTCTATTGTTGACAACAAAATTGAAAACAATAGAAAAAGAACCCTCAAATCTGCATCTTACCATGAAGAAGTAAGTACTGCTCTTTAAAGTACTTGTTACAGGTTGTCTTTTATTTGAAATATGTAAGGAAATGTCTAACAATAAAAAAATATTGATTTGACTCTGGTTCTGACTGCTCTAAGGGAATTAAAACTTGACACAAGCCCTATGCCAATCCATCTGGCCAGCGTGGTATAATATCCCAAAACCTCCATTCTAAGGAGAGGCCTATTTCCAGCAGTGGACTTTTAAAGGCTTTTGATGTGACAATGTTGATTTGAGTTTCTTGACTTTTGCTGGCATCTAGCTTTCCCAATTTTCAAAGCTTTATTGATATACCTACTACCAATTTTCCGATATCCATTTACAAAAATTCTCTAGGGATTGTTTCCTATAAACAAAATGTGGTTGGCAACATGTTGGTGTTTAATACACCTGCCTACTCCTCATACAGGTATGAATTAAATATTTTTAGGATAATAATAATAATAACTTTACAAATCTCACACCTGGCAGTGTAATCCCAAACTAGTTGCAGCCTGTGCTATGTTACCATGATTACTGATAAACATATATTATACTATAAATACATACATATTATAGATAAATTAAAAACAAAAAGCCTTAGATATAATCAATAAAAAAAAATGTAACTAAAAAAGATTCAACAGATTCATTTATTTAATGAGACATTCATTTTATTTTATTTGATAAATAAATAAATTAACATGCATAGATTCAAACCCATGGTCATTTTCACCAGATAAGTTAATATAAATTGAATAATAATAATGTTTATTTAACGTAAGTATCCCATTTAGAACAATTTATTTTTAACATTTCATTTTCTGGTTTAAGAGTGTGAGAGTTCTATTTTCAGGAACACAATAATTCACAATTAATGAGCTTTCTTCTTGTTTACAGACTATTAAAGTGAAAAGCATTTTTGAAAGATTGCTTCTACAATTGCCTTCTACCGTTGCAGCCTTTGCCCTGAAATCTAAATTATTAGATACCTCAGCTGTCCGAAATCTGGCACAAAAGTTATTTGAGTCAACTGTTTTCAATTTTGAAGGATTAAATGGAGGAAATAATTCTGAAGTCCCAATAAAATGTATTATAGCCGAAAATCACTTTTTGATACCACCGCACTCAAGGTATTTTTGAGAAGTAAGATTTGCATACTACTTACTACTTACCCATTTTAAATAGTCATGGTATCTACGCAGATCCGACATGTGATAATTGCCAACAACTTCACCAGTCTTCTGTGAGGTAAGAGCAAATGTAGTGGGACTCACCTTCTTGGAGACTACATACGGACCATCCTGTTTCGGAATAAACTTGGAAGTAACACCTTTGGAAGCATTACTTAAGACATGTGTCTTCATAAGCACAAGATCGCCTTCTTTGAAAGGATCCGAAGCCCGACGGCCGGAATCCGCTTGATGCTTGCGAAGATCCTGCTGATGCTCGATATTCTCCTTAGCTTGAGAGAGAGAGTCAACCAGCTTCAGAAGGTACGGTGTGATCTGAGGGACCAAATTCTCAGATTCGATGACTGCGCGTAAATCAGCCTGGACAGCGATGGGAGAGCGAAGCTCGCGACCGAATGTCAAGTAAGCTGGAGTGGAACCGGTGGAAACTGTAAAGGAACTATTCAGAGCAAAACGGACGAACGGTAAAACCTCAGGCCATTGCTTGTGATTGCCCTCTACAAGAATAGCTAGGTGAGCCTTTAAGTCCCGATTTCTTCTCTCTACCGGGTTGGCCTCGGGATGATATAGTGGTATCAGGTTCTGTTTCACACCTAAGACAAACAACGCCTTCTGCATTACATCAGCTACGAATTGAACTCCGTTGTCGGAGATCATACGCCTAGGGAGTCCATACCTCATAAAAACCTCACCCACTAAGGTTTTCGCACAGATCTCGGCTGTGGCTTCGGTAAGGGCAAAAAGTTCAACCCACTTACTAGCGGTGTCCTCTACTATTAAAACCCACCTTTCGCCTTGAGGCCCTTTAGGTAACGGTCCAAAGAGGTCAACAGCGATGATCTCAAATCTCTGTGCGGGTACAGGAGTCTGGAGTAAACCAAGAGGTTTTAGGTTTGAGGCCTTGTACCGCTGACACTCCGTACAGGTCCTCAGGTAGTTGGTAATATACTTCCTCATGCCTGGGAAGTAGAACTGCTGGGATATGCGATGAAGAGTCTTCTGGATACCCCCATGAGCGGCGGTCAGCGAGTCGTGACACTCGTACATGACTTTGCTTCTCAGGCTCTCCGGAACGACCAGCTGAGGCTCTTCAGCATCCGAATCCTCTACATACCTGTACAATACTCCCTGATTGATAAGGTACCCTCTATCCGACCAACGGTGTACGGACAATTCGTCAGTACTCTCTAAGTCAGTGAGAATCTTAGCTACTTCTGGATCTGACAATTGAGCTTCGCGGGTAGATGTGGCGTCCCATCGTGGAATGTCCACGGTGACCGGGCAGACACCACATCCCGATGTACTATCTATAACTGGGCGGCTGAGTGTGTCGGCTACCACATTCGCCTTCCCGGGAGTGTACTCGATTCGCAAATCAAAAGACTGTAACTTCAATGCCCAACGAACTAGCCTACCGGTAGGCGATTTGAGCGTGAACAGCCACTTCAGGGGTTGATGATCGCTCCTGACACATACCTGATGACCATCGACGTAGCCACGGAATCTCTCCACTGCCCAGGACAACGGCCAACGCCTCCCTCTCAGTGGTGGAGTAGTTCCGTTCTGCCGGCGTAAGGAGACGACTAGCGTACTCGATGGGATGTTCATCTTGTGGTGACTCCCCCTGGAGTAAGGCTGCACCTAAAGCGAAATCGCTGGAGTCCGTTCTAAGGATGAAAGGTCTTGAGTAGTCCGGCTGGGTCAGAATGGGGGGTGAAGCTAAAAGAGTCTTGAGCTGTATAAAAGCACTAGTTTGGTCCTTACCCCATTTCCAGGTCTGTGACTTTTTTGTTAGACGCGTAAGAGGTTCAGCCACCTTGGCAAACTCTGGGTAAACTTGCGGAACCAAGAGCAAGTTTGGAGGAATGCGAAGTTGCTGGAGAGTTGTCGGTTCCTTCATCTCTAAAATAGCACTTACCTTCTCTTCGTCTGGAGATATACCATCATGAGAGATCACGTGGCCAAGGTACTTGAGCCGGTCTCTGGCAAACACACACTTCTCTCGGTTTGCTCGGAGCTTGTACATACGGAGACGCTCGAATACCGCACGCAAATCTGCTATATGGGACTCCAGGTCCTCCGAAATGACCAGCAGGTCATCCAAATAACCCAAAATAGTCCTACCACTAAGTGTAGACCCCGATCTGAAACGGTCTATGAGCCTCTGAAATGTCGCTGGCGAATTCTTAAGGCCAAACGGCATACGTTTGAAGCGATAGGTACCCAAGGGCGTGACGAACGCAGTTTTTATCGCGATCGGCGGTGCTTACCTGCCAATAACCACTGCGAAGATCTAGAGAACTCATTACACAACCCTTCTTGGTCGACTGTAAGAGCTCGTCAATACGCGGCATGGGGTACGCATCCGTCTTAGTAACAGCGTTCAACTTTCGGTAGTCGACACAAAACCTATAGGTACCATTACGTTTCGGTACTAAGACGCACGGCGCTGCCCAGGCGGATTCACACTCCTCGATCACGTCCTCAGCTAACATCTTGTCTAACTCGGCGCGCATGATTTCCTTCTTGGCAGGTGTAAGGCGATACGGGGGTAAAGCAATAGGCGGATGGTCGCCGGTATCTATGTGGTGTTCCGCAAATGGTGTAGGTTCTCCTACTATATCAAAAGTATCGGAGTACTCACCTAAAAGATTCTCCAACGTCGACCTTTCCGACCCCGATAACATAGCGCCCTCATCCGTCCTCAGTACATTCACTGAAGCGCACTGAATGGGTGCACGTTCCGATTCCCATGACAAGGTGTAAAGTGTCCGAGGCTGATCCATGGTACGCCAAGTCCAATTAGAAAAATCGATAACCATCTTAGCTTTAGTAATAAAATCAATGCCCAACAGAGTATCGTTGTTAACGGCCTCAGGTAAAATAATGAATTCAATAGGTATCGATAATGAAGCAAGTTGAACATTAACTATCGTCAGTAGCACATCACTATTCCTAACAATACCGTCCGCAAGCTTCAACGACATCGTTTCGGCGCGAAAGTCTGAACCAATACGTTTCAGTAAGAAATAAAGTGAATAACTCGCAATACTACGACGCGCGGCGGTATCTAACAACGCGGTACCCTGATATCCCCCCACACACACGCGCACGATAGGCCGACCCTGCTTATTATTATCGTTAACAAAATCCGAACATGACTTCTTACTATCTATATACACTGAAGAAAACACATTTTCTATCTTAACATTTGTGTTACTATCTCCGGCACTACCTTGTTTACCTTTAGGACAATTAACTCTAACGTGGCCTTTTTTCACCACAATTATAGCAAACAGTGCCAGAGTTAGTAGAAAGAGAACGTTTACTTAGCTTATCACATGAGTCCCGTACGTGTCCTCGTCCCTTACAATACACGCAGAACAACTTCTTATCACTGTTATCACTTTTGCTCACACACTGATCACTACGCGGCGAGTTCGCTCGCGGGGCGCGGGCAGTGCGAACCGGCGGCGACGGCGACGGCGTCGAACTCGATCCCGGAGCGACGTGTTGCTGCGCGCTCTCGCTGAGCGCGAGGGGAGCCTTCGTAGGTAAACACGACGACGACGGTGACGTGGAGTTCTCCGACAACGATTCTTCTATGCTGCGAGATTTTTCTATCAGTGATTCAATATCACTCACAGCGTCTCTTGGTAACCGCTTCCTGATTCTCTTGTGAAGTAGACCATAAATCATATCCAGTCTCGCTTCCTCTGGTAACTGATAAGGCAGTTTCGCCAACAGAGATCGTACTCTTACGATAAAAACGTCGGCGCGTTCCAACCCTTGCTCAGCAGCGAAAACATCTCTGTACAGTTTGTACGGTGGCCGTGGTATGCCATACATCGAACGCAGGCGCTTGACTGCCTCTGACCATGACGTGACTTCATGACGGATGCCACGCCACCAAACTGCTGCTTGCCCATTTAATAACATGGGGAGTCCACGAAGTGCCATCTCATCGCTGACCGAAGCGCAATTCATAAACATCTCGACAGCGTCTATGAATGCTTCGACCGCCTCCGGATACTCCGACGAACCATCGAAGCGCGAGGTGCATTTGACGAGATTCCCAGAATAAGATGACGGTGTAGCGACGGAGTTCACACTGGGCGGCGTCCCTGAGTGCGATGTCAGTAGTGACTCGACGAGCTTCTGGTTCGCCTCGGCCTGCGCCGAAGAGAAGGCGGCCAGGAGCGACGCTAACTGAGTTTGAGACATAAGCACCGGAGCCACAGGTGTCTCTGTCACCGACACAGGTTCATCTTCCGAACTGGAGTCGTTATTACGAACTTTACGCGGCGGCATTGTGTTCACGAAAAATACCTACTCGAACAGTCTAGAACATCGGCCCATACGTTGGGAGCCAGTATAATGCGTTGTATAATGTTTTATTTATTTTAAGTCTACAACAACAAACACATTACAGATTATACTTTACAATGTTAGTGTAATGAAACTTATCCTTAAACTTAACTTAGGAGCGCGGGCGTAACCTAGAATGACACGGGTGTCGCGCGCGCCGTATTTCGGGTAGACTGGCGCCACTACCGGGCATGCGCGCGGGCGAGCCACGGAGGGTCGCGGGGTGTCGCACGACGGGGTAAGAGGGGTACCAGGGACGCACGTTATATACTCTTTTAAAAAAATGTAATGTGATGGCTTTTAGTTGTGTACATACAGTTTTTTTTTGTAGTGTAAATTGGGATTTTTCAGGTTTCATTGCGGTAATGTCATTGAACAGTGTCAAAAGTTAAAGGGTAAAAAATTTGACATACTGATTGCTGATCCACCCTGGTGGAATAAATATATACGAAGACTGAAGTGTGCCAATGATAAATTAAGGTAAAGTAATGAGGTTTTTGTCTGGAGAAGAGCATAAATTTTACTTACTTTAACTTTAAAATTATGCAAGCAAACAAAAGATGGGGGAACTGCCCTCTCCTAGATTCCCCTGATGAGTGTTTACAGATACTGTTAAAAGTTGTGTTATAGTGCCTTCCTGACTGAACAGTATTAATGTATTTAAACTTTATGTAAATTGTTGCAGTTACTCAATGATGTATAACGAAGATATCGCCTCGATACCTGTAAAAGAACTCTTATCCGAAAACTGCCTAGTTGCTGTGTGGTGCACAAATGCACAGAGTAATATCGACGCTGTAAAAAACTTAATTTTTCCAAAATGGGGTGTGGAATATATAACCACATGGTACTGGTTGAAATTGACAGTGGATTTGAAACCAGTATGTGCTTTTGGGTCCGGTTGTAAGAAGCAGCCATTTGAGAGAGTTATTTTAGGCAAAGTTGGTAATGTAAAAGATATTCCCCATAGCAAGATGATCGTAAGTGTGCCTAGTGCGTTACATTCGCATAAACCACCCTTGTTAGGTAAGAACATTTACGGCCTTATGACATTATAATTCCATTGAACTTAAATCGTAAAATAAATGGCTTGAACGTACAAACATTAAAATATGTCTTTACATCTCTTGTTGTTCCTTTTCTAAATGTAACAGAACGTTACTTAAAAACAGGTTTACTATGCTTTTATAACTGACAGTATAGTAAGTATTTAGCCGTTAAATTTGATCATTTCAGTAGCGCTTCATACCTCGTTTTTTAATTGTTTTGATTAGTAAGTAATAAAATATTAACTAAATAATGTATAGGTACTATCCGTGTGGTGACGGATTAAGAATACGGAATGTCACCACCCCTATACATCCCGTGGGTGTCGTAAGAGCCGACAATGGGAGCAAATTACGCAGGACAACAGCACTACAAAGAGAAGGAAAACTTGAAACAAACCCCGTACCAACCAGTGTGGCCAGCGTGTTATAGTAAGCCAAAACCTCCTTTCTAAGAGAGGCCTATGTCCAGGAGTGGACTATTATAGGCTGTTGATGATGATGATGTATAGGTACTAATTTTACTTTAAAAATGTTTCAGATATTTTATCACCATTCGTGAATACAGAAAACTCGCAGACACTTGAACTATTCGCAAGATATCTGCTTCCGAACACCACTAGTGTTGGCTTCGAACCTTTAAAATGGCAACACATTTCTCTATTTGAAGAAATTACTTAATAAAATAATCGTTCTGAAGAAATCATCTTTTTTTTTTAAGGATATTGTTATTCCTTTTTACTCTGGACCTCCAAAATACCATCTTTATTTTAGAATCTCTTTTGAATTTGAATTGTTATTTAGTTATCCTATAGTTATCCTTCATTGTGCACAAAATGTTTGGGACTTATAAATTCATAAAAAATAAGCAACAACTCTTACAATTCTGCAAGAGCTATGCGTAGTGACTTATGGATCAGGGTTGACGGATGTCATACGACAGCCTCACAGACAACCACTGTTAAGCAGTTCTTTAATTACTTTTCACGGGTGACTGAGGTAAATTGGAGCCCAAAACCTCTCCCTTCACTTGATTCTGGGGACTAAAACGCTCTTTTGACTTGAGTTGCAGTGTCTATGGGCGGCGATAGTCAGTTTGACCCCCTATGCTATAGAAAAAAAACAAAGCTATTCTAAAATAAGTAGATACCTATATTTTGCATAGTTTGACTTACTATTAGAATGGCTGATTAAATGCATGGGCGTACGGTATGCTGTTTTGTCTGGTGTATTTATTTTCATTCCATTAAAGTTTCAAACTTTTTTCAAGGTAACAAAATATGTTAAACCTACTAATAATTAAATAATAAATCACATGTAAGAGTTAAAATAGGCTTATTTATTAAGTACTATAAATAGTAAGTACTATAAGTAATAAAATTGTTATAAATGCATTAACTGTTCCCATTTACGATGACGCTGGTCTTCTTGCACTTCTTAGGGTACCCGTCAGGGTTCATCGTCTGCCATCGCCAGAAGTCTGTACCTGTGGTAACAAATTAAATGACAATATTATCCAAAATACTATTTGCACTTGTTCCAAAGAGAAGGTACCGCTATTGGTCTCATCTGCAATGTGCTGATACTTATTAGGTAGGCTATTAAATAAACTATTGTGTGGTCTAGGACAATAGCCTATACTTCGTAAGGTTTAGGTAATTAAGTTATGGTAAACGGCCGATTTATCCATACCTTTTTAATAAAAATGTTATCAAAGAAAGTTTCATCAAGAAACATTCTAAGTTAGGTATTTGTTTCTTAATAATCAGTTCGTGAATTCTATTTTATAATTGTATTATAAAATGGTCTGTTTGTAAATAAATCAACCTGCGATTTGGAGAAAACAAAATAACTATCTCCAATGATATACACAAACAAGAGGTAGATACGCCACTAACGCACAAAACGCGAGGGTCCTAATTAGGACCAATGCGAGCGAGCGCACGTACTATTTAGAAAAATATCATAAAATGCCTTCCTGTGTATTCCGACAGTGCACAAATTACAACAAAAAAGTAAATAAAGATAAAAGAATATCATAGTCTAAGTCAAAGTCAAGTCTAAGTTTTGTTCTAAAAAGCAAACAAGATGTATGTGCGGTTAGGGAATAAATAGTTTGTGCGTGCAGTAAGAATACTCGTATAACGTATCTTCCTTAAAATATCATTGACTATCTCGGAATTGCACGAATAAATTAATCTACGTGGGGATCGAAGAACTACATCGAAGCATTTCCAGTGGGCCACTTTTATTAATGCGTAATTCATACGGAGAGAAGGAAACTAATTTAAGTTCATAGTATATAAGAAGTTAAAATCTCTCTTTATAAGAGTGTAGTTTCCACGGTAAATCAGTAGCACAAATATAATAGTAATAGTAGTAGTAGTGTATTCGGGCGTTGGTTCCACATCATACACAAAGTACTTTTGCAGTACAAAAGATCCAACCACTCACGAACATAGCTTTGCATCTATCCATACTAGTACACATGTAATATTATAAATGCGAAAGTGTTTCTGTCTTTCTATGTTCGTCTGTTACCTCTTCATGCTTAAATCACTGAACCGATTTAAATTAAATTTGGTACAGAGGTTGTTCGAGCCTCGGGAAAGGACATAGGATAGTTTTATTCCAGGAAACATCCTTTAAGGGGGTTTAAGTTTGTATGGGAAATCAATAACCGTTAAACCGATTTAGATGAAATTTGGTATGAAGATACCGGGTTTTTACCGCGATAATCGACCAGCAAAAGCTAGTCCATAATTTTTTTCTGGTAAAGCGCTGTTCTCCCAACGATATTTTTATTTCAACTCTCCCATACCTTCGAAGAATCTTTACCTCCATGCCATTAACATTATTTGAGCACTTTTTTATTTTACATCTATTTATTGTATTGGGTACAGAATACTTACACATCTCCTCAATGGTGTACTTAGTGGTCCATCCGAGCTGGTCCTTAGCTAGTGTCGCATCTGCCCACATAGCTGTAATATCTCCGAGTCTTCGCTCAACGTACTTTAGCGGTATCTTAGTGCTAGTAACACGTTCAAATACATCTACTAACTCTTTGACGGAAACCCCTCTCCCCGTACCAAGATTGAATACCTGCAAAATGGGGATTACTCATTTACATACGTAAATGCAACAGGTTTTTTCTACATTATTGATGTTGTTAAAATGAGTCTGAGATTACTAATCTTCTCTTGCATTCAATACGTGATGAAAATTCTTAACCAATCAATCATATCTGGAATACGCAATAGTTATACGTCGAAGAAGTGTGTAAAGTTTTTTTTTTTAAACAATCTGGACTATAAAGTAAAAAATTATGTATAGACAGCAACACAAAACTGAGTGTCCAGTATATATTTTGACCTGTTACGGTACATAAATAATTCTAAACAATAAAAGTTTAAATTATACCTACTACTCAATGCAATAAGACAAGACATTCATAACGTCTGAAATTTGACCTACAGGCGATCTCTAGTCTAAACTTATAAAGAGGTAAAGTTTGTATGTTCGTGGTAATCTCAGGAACTACTGGTTCGAATGGAAAAATAATTTTAGTGTTAAATAGTCCTTTTATCGAGGAAGGATATAGGCTATATATATAGGATATCTTGCTACGATCAATAAAAATATTGGGCAAATTCATCAATTTAAAAATTATAAATATTGCGCAAATCGGGGCAAATTTATTTCTTTTGAAAGGAGCAGACAAAGTTGTGCGGGTCGGCTAGTTCTTCATAAATAGTAGTAGCAAAAATAGTTGCACATCACTTTCTTTTGATTTGTTAACCGATTTTCTATTTGTTCCGTAGCTATTGATATCAATAAAAATGGATCAGATTCATCAGTTGTTTTTGCATAAACACACTGTTATAGTGTATTACTTTTTCCTCCTTACTTTTATCTATTATATAAGGGTTAAGTGTTAACCATGGTATGTATTGTTTACTCTATCTTTTCATTTTGATCTAATTTTCATTATTAACGAGAATGGGAGTAGTCAAACTATTTTATGTTTAGTTACCTTGAGTCCAACCTGGTTACTGCTGAGCAAGTTCAAAGCAGCAACGTGACCACTTGCGAGGTCCATAACGTGAATGTAGTCTCGAATACCTGCACGATATAATTAATTATCAAGTTGCTAGAAGATTGTTTAAAATTAATTATACACTAATAGGTACGGTATCATTCTTATGTACTATTAATATCAACATAATTGCTCTGTTACTATTTTACAATTCCTATTAACCGGCCGATCGGAAGTCGATCTCAGTGGCGGGCAATGGCAGAGGGTTATGTCCAGCGGTGGACTGCGATAGGTTGATGATGATGATTAACCGGCCCGCCATTTTCATGTTCTACCATTTCGTTATAGAAATACGGAAATAATGACTGTGAAAACTACACTACAATAGGCATCTTATTCTATAACTTATATAGGTATTACAATTCTATGCTATCTACATAAAGATTATAAATGCCAATGTTACTATGTCTGTCTGCTACCTGGGGATGGGTATGGCCTTCTATTTGTGGCGAAAATAAAACTTGGAGTGGGTGATATAAGATTTTTTTATGGGCTATCATTTATTCGTTTTAATCTAACTCTCTCTGCTCTACTACTTGTTTGACTTATAAGGTAAAAAAAAACATAAGTTATAAATTTATATTTTGCTAAGTATAAATTTAGATTTTGCACGCACATTTGTGCACTAATTATAGCTATACAAAATAGGTATAAATCTGGTTAATTTCTATCTAGGTAAGTCAACAACAACATTACAAGTCAAACAAGTAAGATTAAAAATAATACATTTTATTACCTTCTTGAAACCGTAACCAATTTTTTTTTATAGTCGGTATTAATATATATTTTACGTACCAGTCCCATCAGGAGTATTATAATCATTGCCGAAAACAGTCAGCACGGGTTTTTTACCCAGTGCCACCTGCGCCATAAAGGGCATCAGATTGGTGAACTCTTTGGTTGGGTCCTCGCCGATCAGGCCCGAAGGATGAGCACCCACCGGGTTGAAGTAACGCAGAGAAATTATATTCCATTTCTGTGGATTGTAATTAATTTACAAACGTTTTACTTTTGGTTTAAATTTAGAAGTAACGAGCATTAGTAGAATTGCGCCGATTTAGATATCACATTTCTGACGAAAGGTAGACACCGGGAGTCCTTTTTTGAAGTAGGTTAAAAAAAAATTGTTTTTTTTGTGAAAAGATGACGTATTTTGTATAAAATAATATGGGTTGGCCAAATAAACGCACTGCTCCAATGTGACAGAGAGGCTTCGGAGTGAACGATAATTTCATCAATTTTTAGATTTTTGTCTATTTTTTAATAACCGTTCTACCGATTTCGAAGAAATTTAAATGGGACCACTTGCAAAGTATCAAACTAAAAAGAACTTTCCAAATCAGTTCAGGCATCTTCGAGTAATTAGTAAACATACATAAAAAAAGATTCCAACGAATTGAGAAACTCCTCCTTTTTTGAATTCGGTTAAAAAAAGCATAGGTAACAATTACTTACTAACACTTAGCGGTATTAAAATGACGATTTCATTAAAAAATTTAAGAATAGCTTCTCAAATATACAAATACCAGATTTAAAGAAAGTATCGAGTTAAAACGATCTTATTTGTGAATGAGACGAACTATTATTACTGTCGCGAATGGACAAGATTATCGCAACAATCGAAACACGTAATTATTTTAGATACAGTTATTTCAATATTTCAGTTTTTTAGTAATCCGTATACAACACTTCGGACATCGGTGTATAACCAGAAAAACTCTGTTAAGACAAGCCTGTTATCCACATTTTTGATGTCGTATCGTATCACCATTCAGTGATAAATGTATATGTAGGTAAGTAACACAAAACGTGCTACAGGACGCACTAGCCCGTTTAATTACAATTCTAATTTAGCTATCAAGACCATTTGATATTTCACATAATCTTGACCGAACCATAACGTAACATGTTCGTGAGCCATCATTGTGATGTGATTAGAACATTCTTCAATAAACATTGACCAACCTATAGTGGCTCATTAAACAATAGTTTGGTCTAAATACTGTTGTACTATATTACCTTTTCAGCTACACTGAGGTCTTTGAGCATCTCCTCGATGAAGTACTTAGTCCTTCCGTAGACATTGGTAATGTTACCAGTCGGATGTGCTTCGGTGATAGGTAAATTTTCAGGTTCCCCGTACACTGTACACGAAGACGAGAATACCATCTGATAACAGTCGTGAGATCGCATTACCTGAAATAACATTTTGGAAGAAAAAAATTAATTAAAGTCAAATGAACATAGCTAAATACATTTGTTTTACGATTGTTTGTACGATTGTTGTCATATCCACTGCAAAAGAAAATGCAACTATATGAAATTCGCGACGCGACTATACCATTTTTTTTGAAATCGTCAGATGTCGCCAAGTCTTTTCATTCCGGCTATGCCAGTGTAGTGTGGAGAAGTTGACGATACCCACAAGAATAAACAAAATAAACGAAAACTGTATATCTTAAAAATAAATGAAATTTCTAGTGAAATTGCTATTTTATATTTATAAATTTATTTCATTTGATTGATTTCTAGGTTTTAAAATTTCAAATATTTCATTTATATGTGTTGCGTTTGCAATTGATATAAAAAAAAAACAAATAATTTCATTAAGGCCCTTATGAGAGAAGTATTAAACTAAAACATGCATAATGATGACATAGGATTCTGGACTAGGTACTATGAAAATCAAGTGAAAAACCAAGTAACTCAGTGTTACTTGGTTTTTCACTTGATTTTATTGTAGGTGAACATATTTAAAGAAATTTTTTATTTATCATTTAAGTTAATTAAAAACGGATCTACTTTGTTAACACCACTTGACTACCTGCTACTGTTACTCATGTATGATAAACCATCTTATCTTATCAGATTTTTATTACGGAAAGGATATAGCTACCTACACAGATTTATTTGATTTGATAATACTTACTTATTATGAATTAAAAAACAAAATGACACTATCACTTTTTTAAATTATTGTTTTCAATTAGAAAATGAGTAATAATATAATTCAACTTACTTTCTATTAAGATTCAAAAGACTTGTTTTTTATGATGTAGGGGTCTAGCGAGCAGTCACCTGATGGTGACCGCCGCCCAGGGCCACTTGCAACTCAGTCCTCCTCCCACCCCCCAACCCTCCCTGGTTTGGGCTTTAAGGGTTTAAAGTGAAAGTTTTCAAGATGCCCGAAAACGAACATGGTAAATATCCCGTTTATAAACAACGTAGTTTTGAAAATTACCTCTAATAAGTTGAGCATGCCGAGCAGGTTGTTCTGGTAGTATAACAAGGGTTGTTGCATGGATTCCCCAACGGCTTTTAGGGCAGCAAAGTGGATGACGCAGTCTATCTTATGCTGTAAACAATATCAATATTAAAGTTTGGGTCCCGGGAAGTCTGCCTTGTAGTCGCTGGACTTTTTTTTAGATGTTCCAGATTCTAAGACCGAGTTGAAATTCGAGAATTTGCAATTGATTATAATTATCAACATTATGAATATTATCTACTTTTTAATTTGATAAATGTATGGTATGATGCTATTCATCCTTCTGCATAGACAGAGATCCCTGTCCTTCCTAATTACTTCATGGAGACCTTCTAAACCATACGAAAATACTTTCATCGTAGTCTGCGGGTTCAGGAACCGACCTGATTGTTCCTTGTTATTCTACAGACAAACCGTGTGCGTTGCCACAGCGAAAAAAGTTCAAATTTCATTATTTGAGTTTAACAGATATTTAGTGTATTTCCGCTGTGACAACGTTGTCTCAGCCAGAGGCGTAGCTAGATAACCAAAGGCCGTTCAAAAAAAAAAACTGGGGCCCTACTCTCATTTTCTTAATTTTGAATGGAATCCAAACGGTACTTTTTATAAAATGAAATTAAAACTGATTTCTGATAAGCCTCAATTTTAAATGCAAAAAAAAAACAAAGTCCACTTTGAAACCTTTTTACTAGTTCTCTGTAGTTTTTCAATTTTTTTACGAGATCATTATCTTATCATTAGGTACTTTATGCACATTACATTATGCCAAATTAAAAAAAAAACATCTCCCGCATTAGGAATATATCCTGTGTCGCGGGGGACTTTACAAACATACATGAAACGGACAGAAAGAACACCCAGGCTCAGAACAAAAATTTGTGGATCACACAAAGTGGGGATCGAACCCACAACACTCAGCAAAATAGTGAGCGGCGTGGCGACCGCTTAAACCACTACGCCATCAGTGCAGTCCGTCCGTGTAACTCCGTGTAACTCTCTGACTGGCAGTACTACCTCAAAGTCGGGTTACAACTAATTTTATTTACTTTTCAAAGGTGTGAGAATTTTTAGCTAATTCAATACGACGTTTGCTGTTCAGGGTCCGAGGCCTTAATAGGTTTTTTGTTTTCGTTCAATAACACTGCATATGAAACAGTGTCCGGTCATAGTAAATTATCCTATAGCTCATTAATTACTAAGAGTACATCAATGATACTCGGCAAGACGTTGTAGATCCTTTCAAGTGCATAAACATTAAGTACTAGGCCCTACTAAACTTATTTTACGTTTATATTTAAATCCTCTGAATCGTATGTTTTTTTTCTTAAATCCGTTTTTACAAACAGTATAAACAAATTCAAAACAACATATGAAAAATCTACAGCTCTCTAGAAAAACGTTTTATATGAAATCTAGCAAATGGCCAAACGTTGTTGCAGCGGCAGCTTGAATATCTTCTCAGTTTATTGACACACAAATTTTATTTAGCCACACACAATTACCTCACGTCATACACTAATTTTTGTAATAGTGTAGTTATGCGTGAATAACCACAAATGGTTGGATTAAAAAAAAAACTTACCAAACACAATTACACGACGACGTAAAGAAAAATAAAGAAAATATGACCTATGCAAGTTTGCCTTTGTGATGGTACCGAGGGTTTTACAAATTTTCTCATCATTGGGTATTATAGAACCAGTTACGAACCTTATCAAAGATTTCATTAATCTGCGGTTTGTCCAACAGGTCTGCCTTGTAGAATACAATCTTCTTGCCAGTGATTTGTTCTGCTCTCTCGAGAGCAGGGGATCCATCCTCGTCTCCCACGGCATTGGCAAAGTTATCTATGGCTACGACATCATGTCCGGCCTGTAATAGATCCACTACGCAGTGGCTACCGATGTAACCAGCACCACCAGTCACCAAAATAGTCTTGAAACGTGGCATGTTTTATTATTCTGTAATTATAAAAGCAATAACATTAAATATATCAGACTTTCATATCTATGACAATAGAAGGAAAACTTAAAACAAACCCTATGCCAACCTGTCTGGCCAGCGTGGTATAGTAGGCCAAAACCTCCTTTCTAAGGAGGGCCCTATGTCAGTGGACTATCAAAGGGTGTTGATGAAAAGGCTACATGACACTTACTATTTTTCTAGAGTACGTGTTTGTCTAGTACTTAATTTTTTGTAATTAAATTTCGTGTTTTTCATCGTTTTCATTGTGATTGAATTTCATAAATTTTCTTTTATTTAAAATCACACAATCTAAGTCAAAAATTTGCATTCAGGAAACGATTTGCCTTTAAGGCAGTCACTTGTTTCTATATCCTGGACTTCTGTTCGCCTCATACAATAGACCATTATGTACCTAAGCGGCGAATCCGTACTTAATATAGGCATCTAGTTGCAAACTATGAATGCAAGTCACGAATCTGGCAAACTTTTAAATTAGTTTAATGTGGATTGTAATTATAATGCAATTTTAAGGCCGAATAATTGTGTGGTTGAAAGGTACACTGGATAAGAAGTAAAAAATTACAAAAATGATTTAATAAATGTGAACATAGAGCTTTCCTAATATGTAAGATTTTACCTCACATAAAAATTAGAAGTTTTTGGATGGACTCCAAACATTTTTATTAGGTAAACCAATGGATGAAAGTGAAACATATTTTAAGAAAAAAACACCTAATATTTTACAATGAATTCGTATATCTATAAATAGTCTATTCGTTCATCCAAAGGTTGCTTGTAAGAATTAGATTTTTAGCGCTAAGGCTGCCAATTTTTATTTTCTTTTTTTTTTAAGTTAGAGGGGGCAGACGAGCAGACGGAAATGGTCACCTGATGGAAAGAGACCATCGCCGCCCATGAACGTCTGCAACTCAGGAGCCACATACGCGTTGCCGGCCTTATACATACATAGTCATTCAATACTTTAAAATACTAGTCTGGTGTACAATAAAATTTATTCTACTCTAATGTTACGGTGTACGCTTTTTATTTAATGTACTTATGTTTAGTTTTTTTTTAGTATAGGGGGTTAAGGAGCCACGAGCAGACGAGTCACTTAATACCGCCGCCCATAGACTTTAGGACCTCTGGAGTCACAAGTTTGAGGTGGAAGCACATCCTTTTCTTTTAGGTTTGGTTTTTAAATGCACTAAATGTGTTATGTAATACTTATATACGTGAATAATATAACGTAATATACTCCTATGTAGTTGTTATACAATTCTCGTATTTAAACATAATTTTTAATTCAGTTTGTAAATTAAAAGTGTATTCTTTTTGGTATTTATTTATTTATTATTAGTATTATTTAGTATTATTTGTTTGATGTTGTACGGACGTGTTGACGCGACTTTTATATAGGTAGATTTATCTATTAAAACATCATGCCCACGGCGTTCCCTGCACTAGTCTACCTTTATAGGGTGATGCAGGAACACAGTTTTTTTGAGTAAGTAAGATTTTGAGGGAAATATTTACACGAAAGGATTATCAAACAATTTTTAACGTTATACAAGACATATTTATGACGAAATGCAATGCAATGTTAATATTATTACTTTTTCAAAGTGTAAAAATCTAGAAATTATTAAAAAATCATTCTTTAGCATTATTTAGCTTAATTGTGAGCTAAAGAGAAGGAAAACTTGACACAACCCTTTTTTTTTTACGTGTGGAAACTCCCTCGGGCCGTCACCCCACTGGGGTTGCGGCGGGGTGGTGTCGGAACCGGATCGACTAAAAGCACACGGTGTGCCACTTTGCGCCTGTAATAGAAGGGATCCGGGAACTGCTGTTTTTAAGATTTCCCGATCCTCCTAGCGACTGCCCGTAATGGCACGGGCGCCACCTTCGGGTACATTCTCTATTTAGGCGACGTCCTCGCGTATTTCTTCGGGCGGGGGCCGACTGCCGCTAACCGCCCGGAACTCAGTCGTCCGCCGATATACTTCGGCGAGCACTTCCGCCTCCAAGTCTATTCTGTGCGGTCAGAGCCGCTGCCCACACCGCTGCACCGTATAGCCATCTTGTCGCGGCGCTGGGCCCACCCAGATTAGGCAAAAGTCGCTTTGGAGCCCAGCTTTGGAGCAAGATGTCGGAAGTGCTCCTCGAAGAGCCACCTCCCGTCGAGGACCAGGCCTGGATACTTCATCTGGCCCTGAACGTGTACGAGGACTTAGAGGCACCAGGGGGAGGACCATGACGGGGATCATGAAATAAGAGGCCTCCGTCTTATCCAGGGCCACCCGTAAGCCCAGTGCCTCAATGCCTCGGCCACCAGAGAGACTCCCCTGGCCGCCAGGCGCACCGCCTTCTGAAAGTTCGCCCACCGGGCCGTGACTTAAGTGTCATCGGCGTAACAAATTACACCCAGCCCAGGGGGAAAATCGAATCGAAGGGCCCTGTCGTACCCTATGTTCCACAGGAGATGTCCAAATATAGACCCCTGCTGAACACCTCACGACATGGGCTGACTACTCATAACACCATCCCGGTCTAGTACACGACGGTGCGCTCCTCTAAATAGTCTGCCACCAGCCGCCTCAGGTACTCTGGCAACCCGTGATAGTGGAGTGCTTCCCTGATGCAGCTGAATGGTAGAGTATTGAATGCATTAACGATGTACAACGACACCGCCAACAGCACTGTCGACAATGCGGGCAGAGAGTACCCTCTCAATCAATTTACCCGCCTCGTCCAGCAACACGATGGGTCTGTAGGCGGCGACCTAATCAGCAGGCCGTCCCGTCTTCCTTAACAAAACGGCAGCTTGCATGAAACACCTCCCCGAAGGTCTGACATGTGGTCAAGAGCTCGGGCAGGTATCCCGTCGGCCGCCCTTACCTCCGCATCCATGACGGGTGGATCACCATCCTCGTTCTCGACATCGTCTCCGACCAATGAAGCCATCGACGGGTGTGTGTGTTCCGACTGACTGAAAAACTGCATGTTATGCCTATGCCTAGAAAGTGTGAACTAGATCCAGTCCAGGGCCTCCCCATGGCCCTCGCCTTTGATTAAAGCTAAGAAAACAAAAAAATACTAAGTCGAAATCCGTTTAAATGTTACGATACTATAAGCAGACACACGGAAACCTGTAACATCCATTTTGATAGACTATAATAATGACTAAGAAATAATAAAATGTTATGGAACTCTATCACCATAAAGTTAAACATTTAACTGGTTTCTTCTTGCTAAATTGTCGAGTAGTAATTGCGATGTCTGCAAATCGCATCTCTCAGAAATCATTGCCTTGTCCTTAAACTCGTCATCTCTAACTGTTATTAAGCACCTACTATAAAAGGTAAATTATTATCTGTTTAATCTTACTTGATTTACAGACATTCATCTAAAGTGTTTATTAGAAAACTGCTTTGATTTTTCTACTTGGGGTCCAGGTGGATTGGTTATTCTTAAGAAAACGTTTTTATTATTTTACTTTTTGCACGGATTGTCCTTAATCACAGGATAAACGTAGAGTAAGACAACCCTAAAGAACAGCCCTAGAAAATAAGTTTGAAAATGTAGTCGCTAAAATCTATATAAGTATATGTTATGATATAGAAGAAAAAGAAAAAACGTACAAAAGACAATTTTACATTTACGAAATAACATAATATTACAAGGTTGTATACATATTTGTACGAGGGCGGGTCAATAAGTCCGTGAATTTTGACTCATGTCAAAATTTGAACTTGCTGCGTCAGTTAGTTTGTATTTGACAGCTATCTTTATCAGACTACCCAGTAATTTGAGGAAAAAATTGAAAAAAGTAAATTTCGTGTGCTTATTAAGCATTATTTTTTGCGAAAAGAAACCATTACCGAGACCAAGGCTAAGCTTGATAAATACTATGGGGACTCTGCACCATCGATTTCAATGGTAAAAAAGTGGTTTACTGAATTTCGTTGTGGCCGTACAAGCACTGAAGATGCCGAACGTCCTGGACGCCCAGTTGAGGTCTCTTCACCCGAAACAATCGAAAAAATTCACGATATGGTGTTGGCCGACCGAAGATTGAAAGTGCAGGAGATTGTGGAAGCCGTAGGGATCTCGCATGGCTCAGTGGTTTCAATTTTGAATGATCACTTGGGCATGAGAAAGCTTTCCGCAAGATGGGTGCCGCAATTGCTCACAGTCGACCACAAACGCAATCGTGTAACAACTACACAGGAAGGTTTGGCGTTGTTTAATCGCAATATGGAGGAGTTTTTGCGCCGTTTTGTAACCGTGGACGAAACATGGATCCATCACAATACACCAGAGACCAAACAACAGTCAAAACAGTGGGTTTCTAAGGGTTAATCGGCGCCAAAGAAGGCCAAGGCGGGTTTGTCAGTCAATAAAGTTATGGCGACTGTCTTTTGGGATGCACGCGGGATAATCCACATTAACTACCTTCAAAAGGGAAGAACAATCAATGGGGAATATTATGCCAACTTATTGGACCGATTCAATGACGATTTGAAAAAAAACCGACCTCGTTTGGCCAAGAAAAAAGTTCTTTTCCACCAAGACAATGCAAGGGTGCACACATGTGCAGTTGCCATGGCAAAAATCCATGAATTGGGCAATGAATTGCTCCCTCATCCGCCCTATTCTCCAGATTTGGCTCCGAGTGACTACTTCTTGTTCCCAAACCTGAAGAAATGGCTTGGTGGAAAAAGATTTGACTCCAATGATGAAGTCATCTCGCAAACAAAGGCCTATTTTGAAGACCTCGACAAATCATATTTTTTGGAAGGGATAAAAAAATTGGAGAAGCGTTGGACAAAGTGTATAGAGCTCAAGGGAGACTACGTTGAAAAATAAAATGATTTATTTATCAAAAAATCTGTGTTTTATTCCAAAAGTCACGGACTTATTGACCCGCCCTCGTATATATATGTACATATATATATTTGTAAGCTACCCGAAATCCATCA